CTCGAAGGGAATAAAACTCTGGAGTTGAGATTGAATGACATTGTGTGTCAGGCTTGAACTCTCTGACCCGGCTTGGATTTGCCCCTGTGTACGGGGTCTGAGGGCGCCGCAATTCGGTTTAATTGGATTTAATAGAATATCTGCCTGCTTTTGTCTGTTAAAATGCATACAATATTGTCCCTCGTCACAGGATGATGTTTTTTTTCTCCTGCTGTGTCTTCTCTCCACTCTTATCTCACATTCCTCGGGCCAAGGCCACAATAACAAGTCTGGACTCTACAACAAATCACACTCTTCAGTCAGTCTCCAGCTCGGATCCCTCACCCCCGCCTCCCTCTACCTATCCATCTTGCTCCCTCCCTCCCCTCCACTCCTCACTGTGTTTCCGACTCACCCCCTCCCTGACCCCGCCCCCCTCTGACAGCCACATTGGGCCGGCTGTCGGAGGTGCTCATCCCGAGAAAAAAATCCGTGGTTTATACAAAGCACAATGTGTCTATCCAATGTCTGTGATACTGTATGTTATTGCTCTCTGCTGTTTATTCTACTGTTTGTCGCATGGCGCCGTAAAGATGGCGCCATGGCAAGAGCTCTGGTGTGTGTCGTCTCTGTCTGGCGCACACCGGGGTAGTCTTGCACAGTTTTTCCAATGTGGTTTTACTGCAAATGGCAAATAAATGAATCTGAATCTGAATCTGAATAATATTTCGGGTGTTCATTTTGACATGTTCAGATGAATTATGTTAAAAAAACTGATTTGAAGTGGCACCTTTTCACTTCCGCATAGAAACGCTAGGGGGCGCCAAAATGGCGGCGATGACGTAGGAGAATGACCTCTCACAGCAGCAGCAGCAGTCTGGGCTGAATCTGTAGGAGGTTTCACTGTCATCTGAACAAGGTATAAACATATTTTCATCAGTTTTGTACATAATAGTGTGAAACTCTTTTAACTTTTTAGCCTTATTTGTGAGATTCAAGCTAATTAGTGTTGGGCAAGTTAGCATGTTTTATGATATCAAGTAGAGTTAGCTAACAAGGCTAATATTCGTTTTTACATTATGCCAGTCTCACTTTGGTTGCCTTAGATTTATTTACCACAATGTACATTGTAATATTCAAAAATTCTAACACCTATTAACGGTTTAATTAGCATTTTTATCAATGATTGCATCACATGTAGTCTATGTTTTCAACTTCTGCAGCTTTTTGTTCATAAAAGTAAAATATTTATTTAATTCAAGTTATTTTGATTAGCATTTATGAATATTACAATGTACATTGTGGTAAATAAATCTAAGGCAACCAAAGTGAGACCGGCATAATGTAAAAACGAATATTAGCCTTGTTAGCATGTTTTATGATATCAAGTAGAGTTAGCTAACTTGCCCAACACTAATTAGCTTGAATCTCACAAATAAGGCTAAAAGGTTAAAAGAGTTGCACACTATTATGTACAAAACGGATGAAAATATGTTTATACCTTGTTCAGATGAAACCTCCTACAGATTCAGCCCAGACTGCTGCTGCTGCTGTGAGAGGTCCTTCTCCTACGTCATCGCCGCCATTTTGGCGCCCCTTAGCGTTTGTGAAAAGGTGCCACTTCAAAGCTGTTTTTTTAACATAATTCATCTGAACATGTCAAAATGAACACCCGAAATATTATAAACACATATTGTAGTTATATATTCTGAATAGCAGCATATTAAATTCTAGTACTACTTTAAGGGAAAGATATGTGGAAACCATAGACTGTATATGTTAATGGACAGAGTCACGCCTATCTCCGCCGTTCATAGGAGTTGGCCATGAAAAGTGCTTTCATGGAGCAATCCAAGATGGCCGCGAGTGGTCCCGCCCACAAGAAAATAGTGAAAAAACGCATCTGCGCATGCGTCAGCCGGCGCAGCTCCATTCATTTGAACGAGAGACTTCAAAAATTCACCGCGAGTAAACTAGACTGGTCCAGAACACTCCCTCAGCATTGACACACATGTGGAACGGAGCTTTGGGCCAAGAGCCAACTTTTGGTCCATCCTGTAAAGACGTTTTCGAGAGGTCTGCTAATGCTATATGTTAGCATTGGCTAATTCTACTTCTGGATCCACCCCCACAGGCCTGGGGTGGTACTGCAGTATGTCAGCGCACGTCATTTTGGCCACTTTTGAGCTGGGACCCTCCCCCACTGGTGGAAACACAAGACACAGGTCAGAGGTCAAAGGTCAGAGGTCAACGGTCAGAGGTCAGAGACAGAGGTCAAAGGTCAGACTCTGGTTGTGTTTTCAGAAGAAAGAGAAGCTGTGGTCGCTGTGAAGACCTGACTCAGGAACATGCAGAGAGGTCTGTGCTCTCTCCCCCATGTCCTCCCTCCCCCATGTCCTCTCTCCCCCATATCCTCCCTCCCCCATGTCCTCCCTCCCCCATATCCTCCCTCCCCCATGTCCTCCCTCCCCCATATCCTCTCTCCCCCATGTCCTCCCTCCCCCTTGTCCTCCCCCTCAGGTCTTAAAGTCTCATAAAATCATCTCCTGTTTGTGTTTCAGGATCAAAGTCCTGAGGTGAACATCACACCCAAGGACCATAACAACCCCAACCCAAGGACCATAACAACACTGACCCAAGGACCATAACAACACTGACCCTGACCCAAGGACCATAACAACACTGACCCAAGCACCATAACAACACTGACAAGTACATATAGACACAGAGAGGCAAAGGTACAAGTGGAGGAGCAGCGACTCTACTCAGAGCTCCTCTGTGTGACTGAGCTCATCCCCCTATCTAAGGTCACAAGAGCAGAACTGACCAGTAAATCCAGAGCTCCGACTGCAGCCACTGCTCCCTCGCACCACAATAGTCCATAATGTTTTATGTCTCCACAGATTTGATCTGAAACAAAAAGAGGCAGAACTGAAGCAGAGCAGAGAGAGGTGAGACTCAGTCTCAATGTCCACTTTGAACCGACTCATAGTGTGTGTGTCTGTGTGTGTCTGTCTGTGTGTGTATTGTGTCTGTCTATGTCTGTCTGTGTGTGTGTGTCTGTCTGTGTGTGTGTGTGCGTCTCTCTGTGACTGACTGACTGACTGACTGACTGACTGACTGGAGCAGAAGGAGGAGCAGTTCAGGTCCTTCAAAGACCGGTGAGTCCAAGCACCTGGTGTTGATGGTTCTTGATGCAGATGTTGATGGTTCTCTTTGCAGATGTTGATGGTTCTCTTTGCAGATGTTGATGGTTCTCTTTGCAGATGTTGATGGTTCTTGTTGCAGTTGTTGATGGTTCTCTTTGCAGATGTTTATGGTTCTTGTTGCAGATGTTGATGGTTCTTGTTGCAGAAGTTGATGGTTCTCTTTGCAGATGTTGATGGTTCTTGTTGCAGTTGTTGATGGTTCTCTTTGCAGATGTTTATGGTTCTTGTTGCAGATGTTGATGGTTCTCTTTGCAGATGTTGATGGTTCTCTTTGTAGATGTTGATGGTTCTTGTTGCAGATGTTGATGGTTCTCTTTGCAGATGTTGATGGTTCTTGTTGCAGTTGTTGATGGTTCTCTTTGCAGATGTTTATGGTTCTTGTTGCAGATGTTGATGGTTCTTGTTGCAGGAGTTGATGGTTCTCTTTGCAGATGTTGATGGTTCTTGTTGCAGTTGTTGATGGTTCTCTTTGCAGATGTTTATGGTTCTTGTTGCAGATGTTGATGGTTCTTGTTGCAGTTGTTGATGGTTCTCTTTGCAGATGTTTATGGTTCTTGTTGCAGATGTTGATGGTTCTTGTTGCAGGAGTTGATGGTTCTCTTTGCAGATGTTGATGGTTCTTGTTGCAGTTGTTGATGGTTCTCTTTGCAGATGTTTATGGTTCTTGTTGCAGATGTTGATGGTTCTTGTTGCAGATGTTGATGGTTCTCTTTGCAGATGTTGATGGTTCTCTTTGTAGATATTGATGGTTCTTGTTGCAGATGTTGATGGTTCTCTTTGCAGATGTTGATGGTTCTCTTTGCAGGTGTTGATGGTTCTCTTTGCAGATGTTGATGGTTCTTGTTGCAGATGTTGATGGTTCTCTTTGCAGATGTTGATGGTTCTCTTTGCAGATGTTGATGGTTCTTGTTGCAGATGTTGATGGTTCTTGTTGCAGTTGTTGATGGTTCTCTTTGCAGATGTTTATGGTTCTTGTTGCAGATGTTGATGGTTCTTGTTGCAGGAGTTGATGGTTCTCTTTGCAGATGTTGATGGTTCTTGTTGCAGTTGTTGATGGTTCTCTTTGCAGATGTTTATGGTTCTTGTTGCAGATGTTGATGGTTCTTGTTGCAGATGTTGATGGTTCTCTTTGCAGATGTTGATGGTTCTCTTTGTAGATATTGATGGTTCTTGTTGCAGATGTTGATGGTTCTCTTTGCAGATGTTGATGGTTCTTGTTGCAGATGTTGATGGTTCTCTTTGCAGATGTTGATGGTTCTCTTTGCAGATGTTGATGGTTCTCTTTGCAGATGTTTATGGTTCTTGTTGCAGATGTTGATGGTTCTTGTATTAGATGTTGATGGTTCTTGTATTAGATGTTGATGGTTCTCTTTGCAGATGTTGATGGTTCTTGTTGCAGATGTTGATGGTTCTCTTGCAGATGTTGATGGTTCTCTTTGCAGAGTGGCAGAGAATGTTCTTCTCTCGTCAACAACAGAAAACACCGTGCCGCCCTGGCACTGAGTGGATAGCACTCTTGCCTCGGGGGTTCGAATCCCGGTCGGACCAGGGCCTTTCTGAGTGGAGTTTGCATGTTCTCCCCGTGTCTGCGTAGGTTTCCTCCGGGTACTCCGGTTTCCCCTACCACTAAAAATATGTCCAATAGGCATGTCTGGCATGTGCCTCCTGTACTGGCGACCCTGCTCCCATCTCTGTGCGGAGTGAGAGACAAATGCCCATAATTAACAATTGTAAACCGCTTTGAGACTCAGATCTGCAGTGAAAAGGCGGTATATAAATAAAGATTACTACTACTACTATTACACTGAGAACATGAACAGTCCAGTGAACCGGAGCCGCCTCACAGAGATGTACCAGCAGCTGAGAGTGTGTGTGTGGCCTCACATCAACTGGACACAGCCCGAGCACCGGGCCAGGGACCTGGTCCAGGTAACTGTGAGAACCCTGTGACTGTGAGGACCCTGTGACTGTGAAGACCTGTGACTGTGAGGATCTGTGACTGTGAGGACCCTGTGACTGTGAGGACCCAGTGACTGTGAGGACCCAGTGACTGTGAGGACCCTGTGACTGTGAGGACCCAGTGACTGTGAGGACCCTGTGACTGTGAGGATGTATGATTGTTATATTGTCGTGTTGTTCTTACAGGAGGTGTTCTCTAGAGCCCATGAGAACATGACCAAAGCCTTGAGCACAGTGTGTGCAGGAAGCACCTCCTCACCACAGGTACTGATGAAGAGGAGGATGATGATGATGATGATGATGATGATGATGAAGAGGCTGCTGTGTTTCAGGTGGACACATTCAGGCGCAGGGCTCTGGAGAACCTGCAGATGGTGCTGCTGCACAGCAGTAAACAGCAGGTGTGTGTGAAGGCCTTCCCCTCTCTCTCTGGACCAGAACTGGACTTGGCCTCAGAGTGTTACTGGTTGGGTTGTCTGATGGCTCTGCACTCTCCTCCTCTGCATCCAGACTGGGACAGAGGGTCTGGACTGGTCTTCCCACGGGACATCAGGGAAATCAGGACTAAACGATGACGTGCTGCTCCCACAGTCACTCACCTTTGAGCCCGACCAGAAACAGCAGAATATCGACACAGAACAATATAGAGGTGTTTTTCTGGACCAGTCTAGTTTAGTCGCTGTGGGATCTTGAATGCACTCGTCAAATGAATGGGGCTCGTGCAGCTGATGCAAGCACATTTTTTTACACATTTTCAAGCCCCAGCAGCCATTTTGAAACTTCGGAGAACTGTGTCAGGACAAGCCGCGGTTGAGATTCATGCAGCTAAAATCTGGAACAGTCTTCTGGAAAATGTGAGACTTCTCTGACAATGTTTAAATCCAATAATATCTTCATGATTTTTATCGCACTATGATTATTTAAAACTTCTGTGAATGTGTGTATCTGGTTTTCAGATTCAGATTCAGTTTATTTGCCATTTGCAGTAAAAAAACCACATTGGTTTTGTTCAGCACTTTGAGTTTCCTTTTTCATGAACTGTGCTATACAAATAACCTTGTCTTAATAATCCGTGGTTCACTGCGCTCTCTGATCCTCGTGTTTATGTTGTGATTTTATTTTTGTTTATGAGCCATATAAATATTGACCAATCAGATGCCTTCATTCAGAAGATCCACTCCTTGTAACAGTCTATGAGCTCAACATGTGCGAGGTCAGAGGTCAGAGGTCAGAAGGATTAAACATCAACAACCATAATAATCATAATAGTAATAATAATTATAATAATCATAATAATAATAATAAAAGTAATAATCATAATAATAATAATATTGGGGCGACTGTGGCTCAGTTGGTAGATCATTGGCCTTTGAGCCTAAAGGTTGTGGGTTCGAGTAACTGCTGTCATTGTGTCCTTGGGCAAGACACTTAACCCCTGCAGGAGGATCAGTGAGGGGCTGGTGGTCTGTGCACTGGGCGCTGCTCTGACTGCCACCCCCGACCCAGAAATGGATTAAGGGGAAGAATATAGATGATGGATAATAATAATAATATTACATAAAGTGCTTTTTGGACCCTTGAAGATTCATTCACTCTGAACACGGTGCTGACAAACGTTAAAAGTGCCAGAGTGGGTCACACTGATATTGTCTTTTAGTTTTTTTGTGTTGTGAATTTTATAATAAATATTCCACTTAGTTTTTAAACATCGAATAAGATTAAATAAGAAAACATCCCACAGTGGGGAAATTTGAATAAACTGAACCACACCTCAACAGGTGCCGTGGATTCCAGTCTGACACCGCTCAAACCACATTCCCCAGAGCACATCGATTCTGGGAAGACGACGGAATGTTTATGAGAAACAGGAAGACTGTTTGGAGATTTCCTCTTCAGGGTTACACCCTCGCACACACAGGTAGAAGACGTCAGGACTCAGGGCCAAACCTCGCAGACGTACGCACTGTAACGACCACAGCGACTCCCCCTCACTCCCCCTCTCTCCCCCTCACTCGTAGAGATGAGTAGGGATTACCTTATTGCCATTGACTTTGGCACGTCTTACAGTGGTTATGTTTACAGCATCGCCCCCAGAGGGGCTGAGCTGGTTCCCAACCTGCGGCGCTGGGGTCAGGAGTACGGACACAACACTCCAAAGACCCCCACCTGCGTTCTGTTCGATGCCAACGGGAAATTCATGCATTTTGGATACAAGGCCAAAGATAAGTACTTGGAGATGGACAAAGACGATGCAGCCAAGAACTATTTCTTTGAGAACTTCAAAATGGAACTGTACAATAAGGTCAGTCAACCGTTTATTGTTTTGACTTCATCACATTTTAGTATAGATGAGACGCACGTTTATTGTTATAAAAGACTGTATTCCTTTGCTTTGATCATAACACGTCAACAGTTTAAAAAAACAGTTGTCCATCTGCTGTCGGAGAACCTTTATGAGTGTTACAGTACAGCATGAACACCTGCAGCTTAGATTCAGGTGTGGTTTGTTTGTGGCGTTTACTGTCTTCAAATGCAGCTGGTGTGGTCCGTGCACAGGCACACTTAACAGTATTGTCCATTACATCCACATACAGGATGTTTCTAATCCTCAAAAGGATTAAATTCCTTCTCCAGAATTTGGATTCAGTGCACATAAGCTCTCCAAGAACAGGACCATCAATAATGTACATGTCAGATAGAACCTAGAGGAAGCGTTGGTGTCAGTATTGTCTGTAAGCAGCTCTGCCAGTGATGTAACCCACGTTGGCTTCTGTTTCCTGATCAGAAAATCACTAAAGATCTGACCATCAAAGACGTGAAGAAGCGTCCGATGAGCGCGCTCAAGGTGTTCTCTGCAGCGCTGAGGTTCCTGAAGGACGACGCCCTCAAAACCATCTTCATGAACACAAGTGGAATGAGGTTCACTGCCGCAGACTTCAGCTGGGTCCTCACGGTGCCGGCCATCTGGGACAACTCTGCTCGACAGTTCATGAGAGACGCTGCTGTCGAGGTTTGAGGAGCAAGTCCAACTGTGTTAGCTCCTATGTCCCCTGTGACCTGTCCTCAGGCTGGGATGGTGTCTTCTCTTTCTGTTTAATGCACATGTCTCATGTCCTCAGGCTGGGATCGTGTCCTCGTCCTCTCAGGACAAACTGGTGATCGCGCTGGAGCCGGAGGCCGCTTCAGTTTGGTGTAAGAAACTTCCGTGCGATGGCTTCATCACTGAAGAACATGAAGGAGCTGCTCTCCAGCAGACTCCAGGGACTCAGTACGTCGTTGTGGACTGTGGAGGTCAGTTTCATATATAAATATTCCGTGGTGGATGTGGTACACGCCATCAATCACCAACTACACATGAAACACCTAAATACTAGTCTGTACAAGCTGTTTGGAGTTTGTCCTGTGGCTCTGGCAAACATCGTGGTCAGACCTCAGCGGCTGCAGGAGATGATGACCAGCTTGAAGTCCTTGGCCTGTATTGTTTAGTTACTACCAGCAGATTAGAAGGACCTGATTAGATTTCCAGACAAACACAGGTGTCATGTGAAAACAAATGTCCTCTTTCAAACAGTCCTCTTTAAGGCGTCAATTCTGTGTTTCAGGAGGAACCATCGACATTACAGTTCATGAAGTCCTTGAAGGGGGAGCCCTTAAAGAGCTGCACAAAGCATCAGGAAACGACAAAGGAGGACGAAGAGTGAACAAGAGGTTTAACCAGTGTCTGAGAGAGTTCTTCTGTGGCGGTCTGTGGGAATACTACGAGAGAGAGTTTCCCTGTGAAGCTCAGAAATTTATGTACGATTTTGAAATAGTAAAAGTGGCTGAAGGCGACGTGAAGATGATCTGTTACTATAATCTTGGTCATCTTGTTGAACAAAATCAGAAGGATAAAAAAGTGTTTAACTCTGTAGAAGGAGTGAGCTGGGCCCGTGGCAATATCCTGATCTCTAAAAGCAAGATGGAGTCTTTCTTCCATGAGAGTCTGGTGCACATCACTGACAGTCTGTGCGAGATCCTGGACTCACATTCTCAGATACAGTATATTCTGTTATTGGGTGGTTTCTCTCAGAGCAGGATCCTCTGTGACCATGTGCGCCAACAGTTCAGTGACCGGGCCAGAGTGCTGTGCCCTAAGAACCCTCAGGAGGCCATTCTGAAGGGAGCTGTGGTGTTCGCACGAGACCAGTCGGTCATCCGCTCTCGCAAGAGCGCATTCACGTACGGAGTGAAGATAAGCGTGAGGTACGACAAGTCCAAACACAAGAGTAAGATTACCAATAAAGAGGGGGACTGGTGTAATGTCATGTTTAAAAAGTTAGTGGGAATCGATGAAGACGTGGGATGGGATGAAACTAAGGAGTACAGCTTTACTCCAATAGAAAGGGACCAAAGAGCTATGAATCTTGAGTTCTACCGCACTGAGAGGAAGTCTGTGACATACGTGGATGAGTGGGGGGTGGAGGGTCCTGTGGCCTGCTGTACTGTGGCCATGCCAGACACCAGCAAAGGCATGGATCGTAGAGTCAAACTGGAGGTGTTCTTTGGCTCCACTGAGATCAGAGCGAAGGCCACAGACCGGGAGTCGAACTGCACTGCTTCTGTCAAAATAGACTTCATCAGTAAATAATACAGGCGCAGTGACCTGAAACACCTGTATAACACAGGGTCAGATGATGGTTCTGTCGACTCACTGAGGACATGTGTCTGTGGTGTTTATGCCTGTGATCCTGGATTATAATCTTGGCTTTTTCTCTTGTGTTGGATTCATTGTTGCTGTTCATCTCTGAAATAAGTGTAAATATTTGAAAATAATAAATGGTACTTGACATAAATGAAAAACATACAAGTATTTCCTGCCACACCCTCCCTCAGCTCTGGTCATGAGGGAGCAGCGGCTGCAGTCAGAGTCCACCCTCACCAATGTATCACAGTTTTATCTGGTTTACTGAACGAATGGAGGGTTTGCGGCTGAAACAATCTCTTCTTGTGAACTCTCAGCTGACCTGGAAACACCTTCAGTCTGTCCTGGATGAAGTGAGTGTGGAGAGGAGTCTGGGAAGTCCACACCAAAGTCTGTGATGGCAAAAAGGACATGAACATGGTTACAGCACATTGTGATGGTTAATAAATGGTTCAGAGGGATATGTGTGATTGACATGTGACTGTAAAACATATGATTTATGTCTGTCACCCCCAATGTAAGCCTTTTATAACATGCACACAGCTCCTTGTATGATGTCACAGGACAAACAGATTTGAACCAACAGCACATATTGATGCTTTAAGGAACCATTCAATCGATACATGATCTTTCTTGTGCATTGTGTTCTTTTCTTTATCTTCATCTTTCTTACTAACTAAAGGTAAAAAACAAAGTAGGCCTAGGTGTGCACTGTGCAATAGCAGCAGTTAGACAACAAACCTGTAGTTTAACTGGTTAAAGCTAACCTAAATATTGTGATACTTTAAATCCACTGCTTTTCAGCCACTTTGAAAAACTTGTTTTCATCCCATCCCATTTTTTTCTCTCTCAATTTTTCGTTTTCAGTTTTGCGCCCCCCGAGGACTTAAATAATGGGTAAATAATGATTTTGCTAATGTTAAATGCGATGGCAGCTTGTCAAAGCAGGGGGCGCTGTTGACTCTGTGGGGCACACTGCTGTCACGTGCTGCTGAACCAACCCAAAGGGCGGGATGGGCACAGATCCATGAGTCTGGACTCTCCCGGACAAGTTTATATTTATATTTATTTATTTCCTTCTAGCGTTTTGGCGCCCCCTGTCTTTCGTCACCCCTATGCCAGACATACAGACACATGTTTCCTACTGAACAAACCGGTCAAACTGGTCAAACTGGTGTCACACTGGTGTCACACTGGTGTCACACTGGTGCCAGGAACCAGAGGGACGGAGCTCCAACGGCTGCGTTGAACACTGATGGTATCTGTGATAGTTCAATAAATGAGCACATGGAGGACCTGCCCCGAGCCGAGCCCCGCCGAGGTGAGCACTGACCAGTTTATCTAAAGCTGTGTTTACCACCGCTGCATTAAGTTTGGCGACAGTAACAAAGGATTATATGTATACAGAATAAGTCTTGTACATGACCCAGTGTTTTTGAGAACGAGAACATTTATAAAACTTTGTTTTATAAATGTAGTTCATCCTCAGATGTGTGTGACATCATACACAACATTTCTGACAGTGAAGATTATTTTACTATTTATAACATATGTAACACAGGTGTAATGTGAGGTCTGTAACACAGGTGTAATGTGAGGTCTGTAACACTGGTGTAATGTGAGGACTGTAACACAGGTATAATATGAGGTCTGTAACACAGGTGTAATGTGAGGTCTGTAACACAGGTGTAATGTGAGGTCTGTAACACAGGTGTAATGTGAGGTCTGTAACACAGGTGTAATGTGAGGACTGTAACACAGGTGTAACGTGAGGTCTGTAACACAGGTGTAATGTGAGGTCTGTAACACAGGTGTAATGTGAGGTCTGTAACACAGGTGGGCTTCAGTCTGTGGTTTATCGCTCTCTGTGATCCTGGTGTTTATATGTTATATTCTCTTTGTAAATCCAGATATGACCATATAAGGATAGACCAATCAATCGCAGGAAAACTCTAGCTTGCCTTAGCAACCGTCTTAGCGACACGTCTGTTAACGCCATCCAAAGAAATGCCCATTGAAGGAAACTGGCAACAGCTTATGTAAAAAATCTTCTTCTAACACTATGATGTCACACTGTGGTGATGTCACACTGTGGTGATGTCACACTGTGGTGATGTCACTCTGTGGTGATGTCACACTGTGGTGATGTCACACTGTGGTGATGTCACACTGAGGTGATGTCACACTGAGGTGATGTCACAGTCTGGTGATGTCACACTGTGGTGATGTCACTCTGTGGTGATGTCACACTGTGGTGATGTCACTCTGTGGTGATGTCACACTGTGGTGATGTCACTCTGTGGTGATGTCACACTATGGTGATGTCACTCTGTGGTGATGTCACACTGTGGTGATGTCACACTGAGGTGATGTCACACTGTGGGGATGTCACTCTGTGGTGATGTCACACTGTGGTGATGTCACACTGTGGTGATGTCACTCTGTGGTGATGTCACACTGTGGTGATGTCACACTGTGGTGATGTCACTCTATGGTGATGTCACTCTGTGGTGATGTCACTCTGTGGTGATGTCACACTCCTCATATCTGCTCTGTGTTCCTCAGTGATGGTCTCTCAGCGATGACAGCGCTCAGAGTGCAGCTGCAAAGGAGCCTCCACAGGTGCTCGGAGCTCAGACGCTGCTCCATCCTCCGTCCTCCATCTGTCTTAATGTCTCCTCTGTTCACAGTGTTTCTCAACTCGACGATCTCCGAGGGAAAAACAAAAAGCTAATGTAAATATGTGACTTTGATCTTGGGACCAGATTCATGTATGTGTTTAACCTTTGACCTTGTGTTTTTACAGAGCAGAACTGAAGCACATGAACCACAAACTGCACATTTAAGGTACTGAAGGTCCGGACAGTGTTGCCAACTTAGCGACTTTGTCGCTAGATTTAGCGACTTTTCAGACCCTATAGCGACTTTTTTTCAAAAAAGGGACTAGCGACAGATCTAGACAAAGCATTAAAATCATTAAATGTTGTTAATGTTGAATTTTTTTTTGTTCATTTGTAGTTCTAAACATATTTAGGGTGTTTTTTACTCACTTTTGTCTCTCCCACGACGTTATTCCTCTCTCCTACAGCGTCCGTTACAGTTATTTGCAAATTGCAAATTATGCAAATTAGGCGATGACGTCATTTAGCGACTTCTAGCGACTATTGGGACAGCCAATAGCTACTTTCCTTACTGAGGAGTTGGCAACACTGGGTCCGGATCATGTTCAAAAGTATTTTCAACTTCAAAAAACTAGATATAGTTTAAGAGGTGACAGTAAATTTATTTTACCAAAAGTTAGAGAATCACGGACTCAGAGATGTCTGTCGTTTGGGCCTCAGCTGTGGAACAACCTCAGCAGAGAAATGAAAGTATGTAATTCTTCTTTGTATTTAAAAAAGAATTGTCACAGTCGATCCTGGACGGATACGAACTGAATGATTTTGTTGTTGTGTTTATTCATTGAAATGTGTTTTGGTAACTTTTGTATCATGAACATGCAATGGGCGCACAAGTTTTTTTACTTCTGCCCTAATGGTAAATAAACTGAACTGAACTGAAACTGAACTGAACTTTTAATCAGAGCTCTTAGAAATATCACTGACACTTCTGGCCCATGGAAAAGCCATGTTCCAGCTTCTTCCTTCTGGCAGAAGTTATCATTCGATGAGAAGCAGGACTGATGCAAACATTTGCAAATTTATTCCAATGTAGTTTTACTGCAAATGGCAAATAAACATATCTGAATATGAAACAGGAGTTCAGGACCTTACAGGAGTTCAGGACCTCACAGGAGTTCAGGACCTCACAGGAGTTCAGGACCTCACAGGAGTTCAGGACCTTACAGGAGTTCAGGACCTCACAGGAGTTCAGGACCTCACAGGAGTTCAGGACCTTACAGGAGTTCAGGACCTTACAGGAGTTCAGGACCTCACAGGAGTTCAGGACCTCACAGGAGTTCAGGACCTTACAGGAGTTCAGGACCTTACAGGAGTTCAGGACCTTACAGGGGTTCAGGACCTCACAGGAGTTCAGGACCTTACAGGAGTTCAGGACCTTACAGGAGTTCAGGACCTTACAGGAGTTCAGGACCTCACAGGAGTTCAGGACCGTACAGGAGTTCAGGACCTTACAGGAGTTCTAAAAATCTAACAATAATAATAATAATAAGACACAGTCCTTCAGGACACAGCAGCAGAGACGGAGCAGTCGGACCATTTTCTCTGCTCTGGTCTGTACCAGTGTAAAACCATGAATCCTCTCTGCTCTGGTCTGGACCAGTGTAAAACCATGAATCCTCTCTGCTCTGGTCTGGACCAGTGTAAAACCATGAATCCTCTCTGCTCTGGTCTGGACCAGTGTAAAACCATGAATCCTCTCTCCTCTTGCAGTCACAGTGAACATTGGAAACACAGTTAGTTTAAAGACAATGCATTAAATATTCATTAAAATGATATAACTTCTATAACTCTATTATCACGTTTCCAGAACATTCAACACATAATAATTAATATTACATTTTGATGATCAGACGGATTGATCTTATGACTGGCAGTAATACATATTATCGAGTAATTTTAAAAATGTATATTGTAGGAAGCCTAGTCTTTTGAGGCTTTCAGGGGTCTAGCCTAATCTCACACTGATCTATTGTACAAGGTTTTAGTCGTAGGAAATTGGAGCACCTGGAGGAAACCAATGCAGACACAGGGAGAACATACAAACTGCTCACATAAGGACCTTGTCTGAAAGTGGACCCAGGACTTTCTAGGTGTGAAAAACAAGCGCTGCCCACATGACTGTCACAGGTGATACACGTCGACCTGAGAGGAGGAGAGGAAACTTCCCCTCAGATTCATCCGTGTCTGTGTCTGTGGACGCGTCTGTGTCTGTGGACGCGTTTGTGTCTGTGGACGTGTCTGTGTCTGTGGACGTGTCTGTGTCTGTGGACGCGTCTGTGTCTGTGGACGCGTTTGTGTCTGTGTCTGCGGACGTGTCTGTGTCCGTGTCTGTGTCTGTGGACGTGTCTGTGTCTGTGGACGTGTCTGTGGACGTGCCTGTGGACGTGTCTGTGTCTGTGTCCATGTCTGTGGACGTGTCTGTGTCTGTGGACGTGTCTGTGTCTGTGGACGTGTCCGTGTCTGTGTCTGTGCACGTGTCTGTGCACGTGTCCGTGTCTGTGCACGTGTCTGTGTCTGTGCACGTGGACGTGTCTGTGGACGTGTCTGTGTCTTTGGACGTGTCTGTGCCTGTGGACGTGTCCGTGTCTGTGTCTGTGCACGTGTCTGTGGACGTGTCCGTGTCTGTGCACGTGTCTGTGTCTGTGCACGTGGACGTGTCTGTGGACGTGTCTGTGTCTTTGGACGTGTCTGTGTCTGTGCAGTTGTCTGTGTCTCTGGACGTGGACGTGTCCGTGTCTGTGGACGTGTCTGTGTCTCTGGACATGTCCGTGTCTGTGGACGTGTCTGTGTCTGTGATCGTGTCTGTGTACGTGTTTCCTGGAATCCTCCGCTGATCTGGTTCTTCTGGTTCCTTTGGTTCTTCTGGTGCACACAGAGCAGCTGCAGGATCACTGCATCAAACACAGCGCAGTGAGCAGCAGGTATCAACTCTTATTTCTATGTAAGTCTAGAAGTAGAAGTAGCAGTAGTAGTAGTAGTAGCAGTAGTAGTAGTAGCAGTAGTGGTAGTAGCAGTAGTAGTAGTAGTAGCAGTAGTAGCAGTAGTAGTAGTAGTAGCAGTAGTAGTAGTAGTAGTAGTAGTAGTAGTAGTAGTAGCAGTAGTAGCAGTAGTAGCAGTAGTAGCAGTAGTAGTAGCAGATTCAGATTCAGTTTTTTTGACATTTGCGTAAAACCACATTGGAATAACATGTTTGAGGGGATGTGTCCCACACACACTGGTGTCGCAGCAGTAGCAGTAGTGCTAGTAGCAGTAGCATTAGCAGAAGTAGGCGGGGAAGCAGCAGCAGTAATAGCAGTAGTAGCAGTAATAGTAGTAGCAGGAGTATTGTGTGTCCATGAAGTAGCGGTCAGATGCAGAGGTCGGCCGTCCCCTTGGACGCCGCGCCCTCCGGCTGGGCCTGTGGATTCGTCGGTGCTTTGTCCAGATCCAGGTCAGAAAAACATGTTTTTATTTTTGTGCCTGAGACAAATATGAACAAACCACACTGTGCTCTGTCTGTGCAGGCGCTCCATCAGGAGGTGGAGCAAAGACAAGTCCAGGTGAGAACCCTGTCCCAAACCCCGGGCCAAACCCCGGGCCAAACATCAGGCCAAACCCCAGGCCAAACCCCGGTCAAAGGGACACCTTCATCCCATTCTGCTTTGTTCAGCTCCAGTCTGTCCCAGAACGAGTACCTCACCAGTCCGACCCGGAAGAACGAGTCCCTCACCAGTCCGACCCGGAAGAACGAGTCCCTCACCAGTCCGACCCGGAAGAACGAGTCCCTCACCAGTCCGAAACTGGAAGAACGAGTCCCTCACTAGTCCGACCCGGAAAGAGGGATACTTCACCGACAGGTACTGAATCTGAATCACTGTTTTGGTCTAATCTGTGGTTTAGTGCTTAGTTCAACTCGGCCTGAGACTCGGCCTGAGACTCGGACTGAGACTCGGCCTGAGACTCGGCGTGAGACTCGGCCTGAGACTCGGCGTGAGACTCTGCCTGAGACTCTGCCTGAGACTCGGCCTGAGACTCGGCCTGAGACTCGGCCTGAGACTCGGCGTGAGACTCTGCCTGAGACTCTGCCTGAGACTCGGACTGAGACTCGGCCTGAGACTCGGACTGAGACTCGGCCTGAGACTCGGCCTGAGACTCGGCCTGAGACTCTGTGTGTGTTTAATGTGTGTCTTTAATGTGTGTGTTTAATGTGTGTGTTTGATGTGTGTGTTTAATGTGTGTGTTTAATGTGTGTGTTTGATGTGTGTGTTTAATGTGTGTGTTTGATGTGTGTGTTTGATGTGTGTGTTTAATGTGTGTGTTTGATGTGTGTGTTTGATGTGTGTGTGTGTTTAATGTGTGTGTTTAATGTGTGTGTTTAATGTGTGTGTTTGATGTGTGTGTTTAATGTGTGTGTTTGATGTGTGTGTTTGATGTGTGTGTGTGTTTAATGTGTGTGTTTAATGTGTGTGTGTTTAATGTGTGTTTTTAATGTGTTTGTGTTTAATGTGTGTTTAATGTGTGTGTGTGTTGTGTTTGTGTGTGTGTGTGTTTAATGTGTGTGTGTTTAATGTGTGTGTGTTTAATGTGTGTGTGTGTTTAGTGTGTGTGTTTAATGTGTATGTGTTTAATGTGTGTGTGTTTAATGTGTGTGTTTAATGTGTGTGTGTTTAATGTGTGTGTGTTTAATGAGGTGGAGCAAAGACCAGTCCAGGTGAGAACCCTGTTCCAAACCCCAGGCCAAACCCCAGGCCAAACCCCGGGCCAAACCTCAGGCCAAACCCCGGAACAAACCCCGGGCCAAACCTCAGAACAAACCCCGGGCCAAACCCCGGGCCAAACCCCGGGCCAAACCTCAGGCCAAACCCCAGGCCAAACCCCAGCGCAAACCTGGGCTAAACCCCGGGCTAAACCCCGGGCTAAACCCGGGGCCAAATCCCAGGCCAAACCCCAACACAAAAGGGTCATCTTCATCCCATTCTGCTTTGTGCAGCTCCAGTCCGTCCCAGAACGAGTACCCCACCAGTCAGCCCCGGAGGAACGAGTACCCCACCAGTCAGCCCCGGAGGAACGAGTACCCCACCAGTCAGCCCCGGAGGAACGAGTACCCCACCAGTCAGCCCCGGAGGAACGAGTACCCCACCAGTCCGACCCGGAGGAACGAGTACCCCACCAGTCAGCCCCGGAGGAACGAGTACCCCACCAGTCAGCCCCGGAGGAACGAGTACCCCACCAGTCAGCCCCGGAGGAACGAGTACCCCACCAGTCCGACTCGGGGAGAGGCGTACTTCACTGACAGGTACTGAATCTCCCTCCTTCTGTTGCCTTTGTAGCCTGTATATCAATGCATAATGCAACCCTGCTCAATGAAGTGCTCATGGTGAAGTTTGGCTCCTCTTGACTTCCATGTAAAAGTAAACTCAGAAACTGTTTTGGTCTAAATCTGTGGTTTAGTGCTTTCTGTTGAAATCTTCAATGTCTTCTGGATTTGGCAAACACTATGATGTCGTCACACTCTGGACTGAGACTCTGGACTGAGACTCTGGACTGAGACTCTTGACTGAGACTCTGGACTGAGACTCTGGACTGAGACTCGGGCTGAGACTCGGACTGAGACTCGGGTTGAGATTTGGGATTGAGACTCGAGATTGAGGATCGGATTGAGACTCGGGATTAAGACTCGGACTGAGACTCTGGCTGAGACTCGGGATTGAGACTTGGACTGAGACTCGGGCTGAGACTCGGGACTGAGACTCGGGACTGAGACTCTGACTGAGACTCGGACTCAGACTTGGACCGGCAGTAAATGAGCCGTTCTAAGTTTACAGGAGATTACGTCACACCTCTCTGTGCATACAGCCCATTCACCTGTAACTATGATGTCATGATGATGACTTCATGATGACATGATGACATCATGACATTATGATGTCATCATGACATTATGATGTCATCATGATGACTTCATGATGTCATCATTTGTTGTAAACTAAAAAATATGAGTCTCAACTATTTCAGGATCAATGAATTCACGCAAGAGAACCAGCGACTCCGGTAAGTGTGTGTTTAATGTGTGTGTGTTTAACGTGTGTGTGTTTAATGTGTGTGTGTTTAATGTGTGTGTGTTTTATGTGTGTGTTTAATGTGTGTGTGTTTGATGTGTGTGTTTAATGTGTGTGTTTAATGTGTGTGTTTAATGTGTGTGTGTTTAATGTGTGTGTGTTTAATGTGTGTGTTTAATGTGTGTGTGTTTAATGTGTGTGTTTAATGGGTGTGTTTAACGTGTGTGTGTTTAACGTGTGTGTGTTTAACGTGTGTGTGTGTTTAACGTGTGTGTGTTAAATATGTGTGTGTTTTTAATGTGTGTGTGTTTAATGTGTGTGTGTTTATTGTGTGTGTTTACTGTGTGTGTGTTAAATGTGTGTGTGTTTTATGTGTGTGTTTAATGTGTGTGTGTTTGATGTGTGTGTGTTTAATGTGTGTGTGTTTAATGTGTGTGTGTTTTATGTGTGTGTTTAATGTGTGTGTGTTTGATGTGTGTGTTTAATGTGTGTGTTTAATGTGTGTGTTTAATGTGTGTGTGTTTAATGTGTGTGTGTTTAATGTGTGTGTGTTTAATGTGTGTGTGTTTAATGTGTGTGTGTTTGATGTGTGTGTTTAATGTGTGTGTGTTTAATGTGTGTGTGTTTAATGTGTGTGTTTAATGTGTGTGTGTTTAATGTGTGTGTTTAATGTGTGTGTGTTTAATGTGTGTGTTTAATGTGTGTGTGTTTAATGTGTGTGTTTAATGTGTGTGTGTTTAATGTGTGTGTTTAATGTGTGTGTGTTTAATGTGTGTGTGTTTAATGTGTGTGTGTTTAATGTGTGTGTGTTTAATGTGTGTGTTTAATGTGTGTGTGTTTAATGTGTGTGTTTACTGTGTGTGTGTTTAATGTGTGTGTTTAATGTGTGTGTGTTTATTGTGTGTGTTTACTGTGTGTGTGTTTAATGTGTGTGTGTTTAATGGGTGTGTGTTTAATGTGTGTGTGTTTAATGTGTGTGTGTTTGATGTGTGTGTTTAATATGTGTGTGTTTAATGTGTGTGTGTTTAATGTGTGTGTGTTTGATGTGTGTGTTTAATGTGTGTGTGTTTAATGTGTGTGTGTTTAATGTGTGTGTTTAATGTGTGTGTGTTTAATGTGTGTGTTTAATGTGTGTGTGTTTAATGTGTGTGTTTAATGTGTGTGTGTTTAATGCATGTGTGTGTTTAATGTGTGTGTGTTTAATGTGTGTGTTTAATGTGTGTGTGTTTATTGTGTGTGTTTACTGTGTGTGTTTAATGTGTGTGTTTAATGTGTGTGTTTAATGTGTGTGTTTGATGTGTGTGTGTTTAATGTGTGTGTGTTTAATGTGTGTGTTTGATGTGTGTGTGTTTAATGTGTGTGTTTTTAATGCGTGTGTTTGATTTGTGTGTGTTTTTGTGTGTGTTTAATGTGTGTGTTTGATGTGTGTGTGTTTAATGTGTGTGTTTAATGTGTGTGTTTGATGTGTGTGTGTTTAATGTGTGTGTTTAATGTGTGTGTGTTTAATGTGTGTGTTTAATGTGTGTGTTTGATGTGTGTGTGTTTAATGTGTGTGTTTGATGTGTGTGTGTGTTTAATGTGTGTGTTTGATGTGTGTGTGTTTAATGTGTGTGTTTGATGTGTGTGTGTTTAATGTGTGTGTGTTTAACGTGTTTAATGTGTGTGTTTAATGTGTGTGTGTTTAATGTGTGTGTTTGATGTGTGTGTGTGTTTGATGTGTGTGTGTGTTTAATGTGTGTGTTTGATGTGTGTGTGTTTGATGTGTGTGTTAAATGTGTGTGTGTTTAATGTGTGTGTTTAATGTGTGTGTTTAATGTGTGTGTTTAATGTGTGTGTTTGATGTGTGTGTGTGTTTAATGTGTGTGTTTGATGTGTGTGTGTGTTTAATGTGTGTGTTTGATGTGTGTGTGTTTAATGTGTGTGTTTTTAATGTGTGTGTTTGATGTGTGTGTTGACGAATATTCACAAAATGCTGACAAAGAATGTGCACTCAGGAAAAACCCCAAGGACACAAGATAGTACAGGAATCATAAAGATAACCAGCTTACAAAACCAGACAATTATTGACTCCATGAATAAACAATGCTCTCTCCCTCTGTTGACGAGAGCAAAGTCCATCACAATCAGGCGGACTGGGGATTCACCAACGGCATTCTGACGCCTCCCAGTGGACAAGGGACGCCAGCACACCCGGAAATTAACTTTTAGTGAGACGCATACCGATGACGTCATCAGGGCATTCTGATAAAAACGGGGAGTAGCCATTTTGAGCCCAGAGGAACAAAGGGCAAGCGTGAGGGAGAGAGCATAGCATAGTTTAGGAGCTTTTGTTTGAATTTCTGTATCTGATTGTAAAGATAAATTAAATGCAGATGTTAAACTGCATTTAAAAGTTTAAAAGTCTGCGTCTTGTATCCTGCATAATCCTGGACACGTCCGTCAAAGTGTTTTTTTGACATCAGTGTTTAATGTGTTTGTTTTTAATGTGTGTGTTTAATGTGTGTGTGTTTAATGTGTGTGTTTAAATGTGTGTGTTTAATGTGTGTGTGTTTAACGTGTTTAATATGTGTTTTCTTTACAGATCTGAGCTGGAACAAATGCAGACCAGGTAATAGATGTGACTGATGTGACCTGCTCTGATCTGGGAGTAGCTCTGCCCAGACCCAGAAATGGATTAAAGTAGTACTAGAATGTAATATGCTGCTATCCAGAATATATAACTACAATATGTGTTTATAATATTTCGGGTGTTCATTTTGACATGTTCAGATGAATTATGTTAAAAAAACTGATTTGAAGTGGCACCTTTTCACTTCCGCATAGAAACGCTAGGGGGCGCCAAAATGGCGGCGATGACGTAGGAGAAGGGCATCTCACAGCAGCAGCAGCAGTCTGGGCTGAATCTGTAGGAGGTTTCACTGTCATCTGAACAAGGTATAAACATATTTTCATCAGTTTTGTACATAATAGTGTGAAACTCTTTTAACTTTTTAGCCTTATTTGTGAGATTCAAGCTAATTAGTGTTGGGCAAGTTAGCATGTTTTATGATATCAAGTAGAGTTAGCTAACAAGGCTAATATTCGTTTTTACATTATGCCAGTCTCACTTTGGTTGCCTTAGATTTATTTACCACAAGGTACATTGTAATATTCAAAAATTCTAACACCTATTAACGGTTTAATTAGCATTTTTATCAATGATTGCATCACATGTAGTCTATGTTTTCAACTTCTGCAGCTTTTTGTTCATAAAAGTAAAATATTTATTTAATTCAAGTTATTTTGATTAGCATTTATGGATATTACAATGTACATTGTGGTAAATAAATCTAAGGCAACCAAAGTGAGACTGGCATAATGTAAAAACGAATATTAGCCTTGTTAGCATGTTTTATGATATCAAGTAGAGTTAGCTAACTTGCCCAACACTAGCTTGCTTGAATCTCACAAATAAGGCTAAAAGGTTAAAAGAGTTGCACACTATTATGTACAAAACGGATGAAAATATGTTTATACCTTGTTCAGATGAAACCTCCTACAGATTCAGCCCAGACTGCTGCTGCTGCTGTGAGAGGTCCTTCTCCTACGTCATCGCCGCCATTTTGGCGCCCCTTAGCGTTTGTGAAAAGGTGCCACTTCAAAGCTGTTTTTTTAACATAATTCATCTGAACATATCAAAATGAACACCCGAAATATTATAAACACATATTGTAGTTATATATTCTGAATAGCAGCATATTAAATTCTAGTACTACTTTAAGGGAAAGATATGTGGAAACCATAGACTGTATATGTTAATGGACAGAGTCACGCCTATCTCCGCCGTTCATAGGAGTTGGCCATGAAAAGTGCTTTCATGGAGCAATCCAAGATGGCCGCAAGTGGTCCCGTCCACAAGAAAATTCGTCAGCCGGCGCAGCTCCATTCATTTGAACGAGAGACTTCAAAAATTCCCCGCGACTAAACTAGAGTGGACCAAAAAAATCACCCCCCTCAGCATTGACACACATGTGGAACGGAGCTTTGGGCCAAGAGCCAACTTTTGGTCCATCCTGTAAAGACGCTTTCGAGAGGTCTGCTAATGCTATATGTTAGCATTGGCTAATTCTTCTTCCGGGTCCACCCCCACAGGCCCGGGGTGGTACTGCAGCATGTCAGCGCACGTCATTTTGGCCACTTTTGAGCTGGGACCCTCCCCCACTGGTGGAAACACAAGACACAGGTCAGAGGTCAAAGGTCAGAGGTCAGATACAGAGGTCAAAGGTCAGAGGTCAGAGACAGAAGTCAACGGTCAGAGGTCAGAGACAGAGGTCAAAGGTCAGACTCTGGTTGTGTTTTCAGAAAAAAGAGAAGCTGTGGTCGCTGTGAAGACCTGACTCAGGAACATGCAGAGAGGTCTGTGCCTCTCTCCCCCATGTCCTCCCTCCCCCATGTCCTCTCTCCCCCATGTCCTCCCTCCCCCATGTCCTCTCTCCCCCATATCCTCCCTCCCCCATGTCCTCTCTCCCCCATGTCCTCCCTCCCCCATGTCCTCCCTCCCCCATGTCCTCCCTCCCCCATGTCCTCTCTCCCCCATATCCTCCCTCCCCCATGTCCTCTCTCCCCCATATCCTCCCTCCCCCATGTCCTCCCTCCCCCATGTCCTCCCTCCCCCATGTCCTCTCTCCCCCATATCCTCCCTCCCCCATGTCCTCCCTCCCCCATGTCCTCCCTCCCCCATGTCCTCCCTCCCCCATGTCCTCTCTCCCCCATATCCTCCCTCCCCCATGTCCTCCCTCCCCCATGTCCTCCCTCCCCCATGTCCTCCCTCCCCCATGTCCTCCCTCCCCCATGTCCTCTCTCCCCCATATCCTCCCTCCCCCATGTCCTCCCTCCCCCATGTCCTCCCTCCCCCATGTCCTCTCTCCCCCATATCCTCCCTCCCCCATGTCCTCCCTCCCCCATGTCCTCCCTCCCCCATGTCCTCTCTCCCCCATATCCTCCCTCCCCCATGTCCTCCCTCCCCCATGTCCTCCCTCCCCCATGTCCTCCCTCCCCCATGTCCTCTCTCCCCCATATCCTCCCTCCCCCATGTCCTCCCTCCCCCATATCCTCCCTCCCCCATGTCCTCCCTCCCCCATGTCCTCCCTCCCCCATGTCCTCTCTCCCCCATATCCTCCCTCCCCCATGTCCTCCCTCCCCCATGTTCTCCCCATATCCTCCCTCCCCCATGTCCTCTCTCCCCCATATCCTCCCCCTCAGGTCTTAAAGTCTCTCATAAAATCATCTCCTGTTTGTGTTTCAGGATCAAAGTCCTGAGGTGAACATCACACCCAAGGACCATAACAACCCTGAACCTGACCCAAGGACCATAACAACCCTGACCCTGACCCAAGGACCATAACAACCCTGACCCAACGACCATAACAACACTGACCCAAGGACCATAACAACACTGACCCAAGGACCATAACAACCCTGACCCAAGGACCATAACAACACTGACCCAAGGACCATAACAACCCTGACAAGTACATATAGACACAGAGAGGCAAAGGTACAAGTGGAGGAGCAGCGACTCTACTCAGAGCTCCTCTGTGTGACTGAGCTCATCCCCCTATCTAAGGTCACAAGAGCAGAACTGACCAGTAAATCCAGAGCTCCGACTGCAGCCACTGCTCCCTCGCACCACAATAGTCCATAATGTTTTATGTCTCCACAGATTTGATCTGAAACAAAAAGAGGCAGAACTGAAGCAGAGCAGAGAGAGGTGAGACTCAGTCTCAATGTCCACTTCGAACCGACTCATAGTGTGTGTGTCTGTGTGTGTCTGTCTGTGTGTGTCTGTCTGTGTCTATCTGTGTGTGTGTGTGTCTCTCTGTGTGTGTATGTGTATGTGTCTGTGTGTGTGTATTGTGTCTGTCTATGTCTGTCTGTGTGTGTGCGTCTCTCTGTGTGTGTGCGTCTCTCTGTGTGTGTATGTGTATGTGTGTGTGTGTGTGCGTCTCTCTGTGTGTGTATGTGTCTGTGAGTGTGTGTGTCGGTCTGTGTGTGTGCGTGTATGTGACTGCCTGTGTGAGTGTTTCCAGTGTGTTTGTGTGTCACTTCTTTTTGATCACTCTATCATTTGAATAATTTCCAGGAGTGTGTTGTCCGTCTGCCGGCGCTGTGAGGACCAGGCCCAGGAGCACAAGCAGACGTCAGTATTTTACTTTCACTTTCACTTTGACTCTGTCCAAACTCCTGTGTGTGTCTCACAGAGTACGAGAGATGGACACTTTCTACAGAAGCAAACTGAGTGAGGCCAGGTACACACACAAATATACACACACACAGACACACACACACACACACACACACAAATATACACACACACAGACACACATACACACACTCACAGACACACTCTCTCCTGGTTAAACAAAGAGGCCTCTGTTCCACAGATCTGCTCTGGAGCAGAAGGACGAGCAGTTCAGGTCCTTCAAAGACCGGTGAGTCCAAGAACCTGGTGAGGCGTTCATGGTTCTCTTTGCAGATGTTGATGGTTCTTTTGCAGATGTTGATGGTTCTTTTGCAGATGTTGATGGTTCTCTTGCAGATGTTGATGGTTCTCTTTGCAGATGTTGATGGTTCTCTTTGCAGATGTTGATGGTTCTCTTTGCAGATGTTGATGGTTCTCTTTGCAGATGTTGATGGTTCTCTTTGCAGATGTTGATGGTTCTTGTTGTAGATGTTGATGGTTCTCTTGCAGATGTTGATGGTTCTTGTTGTAGATGTTGATGGTTCTCTTTGCAGATGTTGATGGTTCTCTTTGCAGATGTTGATGGTTCTCTTTGCAGATGTTGATGGTTCTTGTTGCAGATGTTGATGGTTCTCTTTGCAGAGTGGCAGAGAATGTTCTTCTCTCGTCAACAACAGAAAACACTGAGAACATGAACAGTCCAGTGAACCGGAGCCGCCTCACAGAGATGTACCAGCAGCTGAGAGTGTGTGTGTGGCCTCACATCAACTGGACACAGCCCGAGCCCCGGGCCAGGGACCTGGTCCAGGTAACTGTGAGGACCCTGTGGCTGTGAGGACCCTGTGGCTGTGAGGACCCTGTGGCTGTGAGGACCCTGTGGCTGTGAGGACCCTGTGGCTGTGAGGACCCTGTGGCTGTGAGGACCCTGTGGCTGTGAGGACCCTGTGGCTGTGAGGACCCTGTGGCTGTGAGGACCCTGTGGCTGTGAGGACCCTGTGGCTGTGAGGACCCTGTGGCTGTGAGGACCCTGTGGCTGTGAGGACCCTGTGGCTGTGAGGACCCTGTGGCTGTGAGGACCCTGTGACTGTGAGGACCCTGTGTGAGTGTTATATTGTCGTGTTGTTCTTACAGGAGGTGTTCTCTAGAGCCCATGAGAACATGACCAAATCCTTGAGCACAGTGTGTGCAGGAAGCACCTCCTCACCACAGGTACTGATGAAGAGGAGGAGGATGATGATGATGATGATGATGATGATGATGATGATGATGATGAGGCTGCTGTGTTTCAGGTGGACACATTCAGGCGCAGGGCTCTGGAGAACCTGCAGATGGTGCTGCTGCACAGCAGTAAACAGCAGGTGTGTGTGAAGGCCTTCCCCTCTCTCTCTGGACCAGAACTGGACTTGGCCTCAGAGTGTTACTGGTTGGGTTGTCTGATGGCTCTGCACTCTCCTCCTCTGCATCCAGACTGGGACAGAGGGCCTGGACTGGTCTTCCCACGGGACATCAGGGACTGACCTCAGGGACTGACCTCAGGGACTGACCTCAGGGACGGACCTCAGGGACGGACCTCAGGGACGGACCTCAGGGATTGACCTCAGGGACTGACCTTAGCCTTCTGTGTCAAGGTTGTGTTTAAATCGAGTGATGTTAGGAAAAATGTATTTCTATAAAAAGTAACTTTCTTCTCTCCCTGGTCTCTCTCTCTCTTTGGTCTCTCTCTCTCTTTGGTCTCTCTCTTTGGTCTCTCTCTCTCTATGGTCTCTCTCTCTCTTTGGTCTCTCTCTCTCTTTGGTCTCTCTCTCTCTTTGGTCTCTCTCTCTCTTTGGTCTCTCTCTCTCTCTATGGTCTCTCTCTCTCTTTGGTCTCTCTCTCTCTTTGGTCTTTCTCTCTCTTTGGTCTTTCTCTCTCTCTATGGTCTCTCTCTCTCTTTGGTCTCTCTCTCTCTTTGGTCTCTCTCTCTCTCTATGGTCTCTCTCTCTCTCTTTGGTCTCTCTCTCTCTATGGTCTCTCTCTCTCTATGGTCTTTCTCCCTCTCTGGTCTCGCTTGTGTTCTTTCAGAATGAAACAGTCAAAACTAATTTTGGTATAACATAAAAAAAGAAAGCCCTGCGAGGCCCAAACACGTTGGTCCCTTTCCTCATTAAAGGACTTTTTATCAGAGTGATTTCACCGTCTTTACTTTCCCAACACAACACCTGCTTCACTTCAGCTGCAGATCACAGGTACACATAAACTAACACAGGTACACATAATCTAACACAGGTACATAGAATCTAACACAGGTACATAGAATCTAACACAGGTACATAGTATCTAACACAGGTACGTAGTATCTAACACAGGTACATATAATCTAACACAGGTACACATAAACTAACACAGGTACACATAAACTAACACAGGTACACAGAATCTAACACAGGTACACAGAATCTAACACAGGTACACAGAATCTAACACAGGTACACAGAATCTAACACAGGTACATAGAATCTAACACAGGTACATAGAATCTAACACAGGTACATAGAATCTAACACAGGTACATATAATCTAACACAGGTACATAGTATGTAACACAGGTATGTATGTAACACAGGTACACAGTATCTAACACAGGTACATAGAATCTAACACAGGTACATAGAATCTAACACAGGTACATAGAATCTAACACAGGTACATAGAATCTAACACAGGTATATAGAATCTAACACAGGTACATAGAATCTAACACAGGTACACATAAACTAACACAGGTACATAGAATCTAACACAGGTACATAGTATGTAACACAGGTACATAGAATCTAACACAGGTACATATAATCTAACACAGGTACATAGTATGTAACACAGGTATGTATGTAACACAGGTACACAGTATCTAACACAGGTACACAGTATGTAACACAGGTACACAGTATCTAACACAGGTACACAGTATCTAACACAGGTACATAGAATCTAACACAGGTACATAGTATCTAACACAGGTACATAGAATCTAACACAGGTACATAGTATCTAACACAGGTACATAGAATCTAACACAGGTACATATAATCTAACACAGGTACATAGAATCTAACACAGGTACATAGAATCTAACACAGGTACATAGTATCTAACACAGGTACATATAATCTAACACAGGTACATAGAATCTAACACAGGTACATATAATCTAACACAGGTACATAGTATGTAACACAGGTACATATAATCTAACACAGGTACATATAATCTAACACAGGTACATATAATCTAACACAGGTACATAGTATGTAACACAGGTATGTATGTAACACAGGTACACAGTATGTAACACAGGTACACAGTATCTAACACAGGTACACAGTATCTAACACAGGTACATAGAATCTAACACAGGTACATAGTATCTAACACAGGTACATAGAATCTAACACAGGTACATAGTATCTAACACAGGTACATATAATCTAACACAGGTACATATAATCTAACACAGGTACATATAATCTAACACAGGTACATAGAATCTAACACAGGTACATAGAATCTAACACAGGTACATAGTATCTAACACAGGTACATATAATCTAACACAGGTACATATAATCTAACACAGGTACATATAATCTAACACAGGTACATAGAATCTAACACAGGTACATATAATCTAACACAGGTACATAGAATCTAACACAGGTACATATAATCTAACACAGGTACATAGTATCTAACACAGGTAATATATAATCTAACACAGGTACATATAATCTAACACAGGTACATATAATCTAACACAGGTACATAGTATCTAACACAGGTACATAGAATCTAACACAGGTACATATAATCTAACACAGGTACATAGAATCTAACACAGGTACATAGTATCTAACACAGGTACATAGAATCTAACACAGGTACATATAATCTAACACAGGTACATAGAATCTAACACAGGTACATATAATCTAACACAGGTACATAGAATCTAACACAGGTACATAGTATCTAACACAGGTACATATAATCTAACACAGGTACATAGAATCTAACACAGGTACATATAATCTAACACAGGTACATAGTATGTAACACAGGTACATATAATCTAACACAGGTACATATAATCTAACACAGGTACACAGTATCTAACACAGGTACACAGTATGTAACACAGGTACACAGTATCTAACACAGGTACACAGTATCTAACACAGGTACATAGAATCTAACACAGGTACATAGTATCTAACACAGGTACATAGTATGTAACACAGGTACATAGAATCTAACACAGGTACATATAATCTAACACAGGTACATAGTATGTAACACAGGTATGTATGTAACACAGGTACACAGTATGTAACACAGGTACACAGTATCTAACACAGGTACACAGTATCTAACACAGGTACATAGAATCTAACACAGGTACATAGTATCTAACACAGGTACATAGTATGTAACACAGGTACATAGAATCTAACACAGGTACATATAATCTAACACAGGTACATAGTATGTAACACAGGTATGTATGTAACACAGGTACACAGTATCTAACACAGGTACATAGAATCTAACACAGGTACATCGAATCTAACACAGGTACATAGAATCTAACACAGGTACCTATAATCTAACACAGGTACATAGAATCTAACACAGGTACATTGAATCTAACAGAGGTACATAGAATCTAACACAGGTACCTATAAACTAACACAGGTACATAGAATCTAACACAGGTACATATAATCTAACACAGGTACATATAATCTAACACAGGTACATAGAATCTAACACAGGTACATAGAATCTAACACAGGTACATAGAATCTAACACAGGTACATATAATCTAACACAGGTACATATAATCTAACACAGGTACATATAATCTAACACAGGTACATAGAATCTAACACAGGTACATAGAATCTAACACAGGTACATAGTATCTAACACAGGTACATAGAATCTAACACAGGTACATATAATCTAACACAGGTACCTATAATCTAACACAGGTACCTATAATCTAACACAGGTACATAGAATCTAACACAGGTACCTATAATCTAACACAGGTACACATAAACTAACACAGGTACATAGAATCTAACACAGGTACATATAATCTAACACAGGTACATAGAATCTAACACAGGTACATCGAATCTAACACAGGTACATAGAATCTAACACAGGTACATATAATCTAACACAGTTACATAGTATGTAACACAGGTACATAGAATCTAACACAGGTACATAAGGTACATATAATCTAACACAGGTACATAGTATCTAACACAGGTACATATAATCTAACACAGGTACATATAATCTAACACAGGTACATAGTATTACACAGGTATGTATGTACACAGGTACACAGTATGTAACACAGGTACACAGTATCTAACACAGGTACACAGTATCTAACACAGGTACACAGTATGTAACACAGGTACATAGTATCTAACACAGGTACACAGTATCTAACACAGGTACACAGTATCTAACACAGGTACACAGTATCTAACACAGGTACATAGTATCTAACACAGGTACACAGTATCTAACACAGGTACACAGTATCTAACACAGGTACACAGTATCTAACACAGGTACACAGTATCTAACACAGGTACACAGTATCTAACACAGGTACACAGTATCTAACACAGGTACACAGTATCTAACACAGGTACACAGTATCTAACACAGGTACACAGTATCTAAAACAGGAACATAGTATCTAACACAGGTACACAGTATCTAACACAGGTACACAGTATCTAACACAGGTACACAGTATCTAACACAGGTACACAGTATCTAACACAGGTACACAGTATCTAACACAGGTACACAGTATCTAACACAGGTACATAGTATCTAACACAGGTACACAGTATCTAACACAGGTACACAGTATCTAACACAGGTACACAGTATCTAACACAGGTACATAGTATCTAACACAGGTACACAGTATCTAACACAGGTACACAGTATCTAACACAGGTACACAGTATCTAACACAGGTACACAGTATCTAACACAGGTACACAGTATCTAACACAGGTACACAGTATCTAACACAGGTACACAGTATCTAACACAGGTACATAGTATCTAACACAGGTACACAGTATCTAACACAGGTACACAGTATCTAACACAGGTACATAGAGGGTTGTTAAATCAATCTGGAGTTTCCCAGAATGAATGAAGACCTCTGATTGGTCAGTCCTTATAAGGCCCATATCTGGATTTACAAAGACAACATCACATAAAAACAGCAGGATCACAGAGAACGATAAACCACAGATTTAAGCCCAAAATGTGAGTGTGAGACAAAGAGTTGGTGACAGGAGTTTACTTTTACTGTAAGTCAAAAGGAGCCAGAGAGATGATGCCGGAAGTGAGAGTTGGCAGGAGGAAAACAAAGATGGCGGCGGACGACGAGGTGAGTTTGTTTACTCTTAACTTTACTCAGTTTATAAGGGGGTCTGTCACTGTGGCATCCCGGGCTGTGGAGGAGCTCATCCCCGGGGTGTGAAGGAGCTCATCCCCGGGCTGTGGAGGAGCTCATCCCCGGGGTATGGGGGAGCTCATCCCCTTGGTATGGAGGAGCTCATCCCTGGGCTGCGGAGGAGCTCATCCCCGGGGTGTGGAGGAGCTCATCCCCGGGGTGTGGAGGAGCTCATCCCCGGGGTGTGGAGGAGCTCATCCCCGGGGTGTGGAGGAGCTGATTCTCGGGGTGTGGAGGAGCTGATTCTCGGGCTGTGGAGGAGCTGATTCTCGGGCTGTGGAGGAGCTGATTCTCGGGGTGTGGAGGAGCTCATCCCCGGGGTGTGGAGGAGCTCATGGGTCCCCCCCGCTACATCCACTCCATCTAGGGAAAATGAGGACGACCTTTCCCTTTGTTTTCTATCCCCGCCTTCACTACTGGATTTACCGGAACACTCTGCAGGCATGATAAGATCAGCGATGAAGACTATTCCTCTCACACCCACTGTAGCCAGATCAAGGGTCCTATCTAACATTCAAAACTACTCCCCATACGTACCTCCAAAGCCACCTAGGGCGTCCAACTCAAATTCTCCCACAAAATCCACCCGTCCCTCCTCTAACCCCATAAGTATTCCACCCCCCCCTCCTGCTCATTTAGCCCACCTCCCCCCTAACTCAGCACCAAGAAACCCTCCACCTCCACTCCCCTCTCGTCCACCACCCAACTCAGCCTGCCCCTCCCCTAACCCATCACCAAAAACCCATCCACCTTCAACCCCTCCCCGTCCAACTCCCAAGAACCACCCGCCTCTCCATCCTCTTCCCCCGCCTTCCCCTACCCCTCTTTTCTCTAAACACTAGGATGCACAGGGTCTCTGCTTCGCAGCCACTGGCAGTCTAGTTAGAGGAGAGACCCGGCTGGGGCCCTGTCATGAAGCCACCTGTGCCATTCCCTTAGTGATAACACAAAGAATACATAACAGAAAAACATCTGAAGTTTATCAGTCTAATCAGGAAAATCTAATTCTTGTTCCGTGTAAGAATCAGCCGACCACAACCGCTGATCCTGAAACTTTTAAACTTGCTATGCTAAATGTCAGATCTCTTTGTAACAAGTCTTTTTTAATCAATAATTTTATTTGTTCTTATAATCTAGATCTTATGTTCATGGCTGAAACATGGCTTGACCAAAATACAGAAAATGCAGTTTTAATAGAAGCATCACCACCAAATTTCAAATTTGAATCTGAAATACGGGAAAACAAAAAAGGAGGAGGCTTAGCTGCCATTTTCAGAGACCACTTTGTCTCCCATAGAATGTCTCTTGGGAAGTTTCCGTCTTTTGAATATGTGTCTTTTAAAATACAACAAAAACAATCTCCTCCAATACTTTTCGTTGTCCTATACAAGCCACCGCAGTCATGTCACAGTTTTATTGATAATTTTACAGAGTTGCTTTCAGTTTTATGCACAGATTTTGATAGTTTAGTTATTACAGGTGATTTTAATATTCATGTGGATAATGTTGATGACAGAAATGCTAAAGAGCTGAGTTCTCTTCTTGAATCTTTTGGTCTCACTCAGCATGTGAGGGGCCCCACCCACAGCAGAGGGCACACTCTAGACCTGTTAGTTACAAAGGGGGCGAACATTTATAATGTAAACGTGGTCGATGTTGCGCTTTCGGATCATTTTTGTATATTTTTTGACATGTGTTTCACTAACAAACCACCAGTGGACTCTGCAACTGTACGAAGAAGACACATAAATGAAAATACGGGTGAACTATTTATGGGAATGATAAACTTTGAGAATGCATCGTATTCTACTGTAGATGAACTGTTTAACTCTGTCACCTCTAGTGTTTTGAAAGTTCTGGACACCATCGCTCCTGTGAAGGTTAAAATAGTGAAAAATAAGCAGAAGGCGCCGTGGGCTAAAGCAGACTCGGTCAGGGCACAAAAGAGAGAGTGCCGGAGGGCCGAGCGGAAGTGGCGCAAGTCCAACCTCCAGGTTGATTACAAGATCTTCAAAGATAAGTTGTGCGAGTTTAACCAGGTGCTACGTAGTACGAGAGAAAGGTATTTTTCTGAAATGATTGAAGGCTGCAGCAACAATCTGCGTGTTCTGTTTTCAACAGTTAATAGATTAACAAACCCCCCTGTTCAAATGCCATTAGAGCTAACTTCCAAACATAAATGTAATGAGTTTGCAAATTTTTTCAATGACAAGGTTCAGGGCATCAAAAACGCCATTGTCTCCAATCCACAGATAACCATCCAACAGCCAGAAAGGCTTTTTGAGCTAACTTACTTTGCACCTGTAAATGATCAAACTGTCCAAGAGATAATCTCCAGTTTGAGCTCCTCCACATGCAGCTTGGATGTACTACCCACTAGATTTCTGAAGTCTGTTCTGAGCAGTCTGTTACCTTCACTCACACAGATAGTAAACATGTCCCTTGATTCTGGAATATTCCCAAAGGCCCTGAAAACTGCAGTCATCAGGCCCCTGCTAAAAAAGAGCAGTCTGGATGCTACGGTACTTAACAACTATCGTCCCATCTCAAATCTGCCATTTATGGGGAAAGTCCTTGACAAAGTTGTCTACCTACAGCTTACTAGATTTCTTATAATCAACAACTCATTTGATATGTTTCAGTCCGGCTTTAGACCCCACCACAGCACTGAGACTGCTCTCGTCAAGGTTACAAATGATATCCGGCTGAACACTGACGCAGGCAAAGTCTCAATCCTAATCCTGTTAGATCTAAGTGCTGCCTTTGACACTGTCGACCATGAGATCCTCTTACAGAGACTAGAGGACTGGGTTGGCGTCGCTGGCACCGCCCTAAGTTGGTTTAGGTCTTACCTTGAAGACAGGAAGTACTTTGTGGAGATTGGAAACTGTGTCTCAGATCATATGGCCCTGACCTGTGGAGTCCCACAGGGGTCGATCCTGGGACCTCTTCTGTTCAATCTCTGCATGCTGCCGTTAGGTCAGTTAATACGCAGAAACAAAGTTTCCTATCATAACTATGCAGACGACACTCAGATCTATGTCTCACTGACTGCAGGAGAACATGGACCAGTGGACTCACTCCTTCACTGTATCCAACAGATCAGTGAGTGGATGCAAAACAACTTCCTTCAGCTAAACGCAGACAAAACTGAAATGATTGTCTTTGGTCCCCAGAAACAAAGAGAGAGCGTCATCTGTCATCTACAGTCTCTCTCCCTAAAACCTTCAAACAAGGTCAGAAATCTAGGGGTAATACTGGACTCAGACTTAAATTTTAATAGCCACATCAAATCAGTAACATCAGCAGCTTTTTACCATCTAAAAAACATTGCCAGGATCAAAAACATAGTGTCTAAAGCAGACTTGGAGATTCTTATCCATGCATTTGTCTCCAGTAGGTTAGACTACTGCAATGGCCTGCTCACAGGTCTGTCCAAACAGGCTGTAAAACAGCTGCAGTACATTCAAAATGCAGCAGCTCGAGTCCTGACTAGAACCAGGAAGTACGACCACATTAGTCCAGTCCTCAGGTCCCTGCACTGGCTTCCTGTGGCTCAGAGAATAGACTTTAAAACAGCTCTGCTTGTGTACAAGTCTCTCCATGGCCTCGCACCAAAATATATTAGTGACATGTTAGTCCCATATGAACCAGCCCGGACTCTGAGGAGCACAGGGACTGGACTCCTGCTGGGACTCTGAGGAGCACAGGGACTGGACTCCTGCTGGGACTCTGAGGAGCACAGGGACTGGACTCCTGTTAGTGCCCAGAGTCAGAACTAAACATGGGGAGGCTGCTTTTCAGATTCATGCTGCTAAAATCTGGAACAATCTTCCTGAAGATGTGAGACAGGCCTCCTCTCTGACAATGTTTAAAACCAGGTTAAAAACGGTGCTGTTTAGCTGTGCTATACAAATAAACTTGCCTTGCCTTGCCTTGCCTCATCCCCGGGCTGCGTAGGAGCTCATCCCCGGGCTGCGTAGGAGCTCATCCCCGGGCTGCGGAGGAGCTCATCCCCGGGGTGTGGAGGAGCTCATCCCCGGGGTGCGGAGGAGCTCATCCCCGGGGTGTGGAGGAGCTCATCCCCGGGGTGTGGAGGAGCTGATTCTCGAGGTCTGGAGCTGGTTCCTGGATCACCACAGTTCACAAAGACGTGCAGATTTTAAACTGAGGCTGTTGGAAGATCCCCCACTGCTCACATCACCCTCTGCAGAGGATACAGTGTGTGTGTGTGTCATAGACTGTAAATATTCTGTGTGTGTGTGTCATAGACTGTATATATTCTGTGTGTGTGTCATAGACTGTAAATATTCTGTGTGTGTGTGTGTGTGTCATAGACTGTAAATATTCTGTGTGTGTGTGTGTGTCATAGACTGTATATATTCTGTGTGTGTGTGTGTGTGTGTGTCATAGACTGTATATATTCTGTGTGTGTGTGTGTGTGTGTGTGTGTGTCATGGACTGTATATATTCTGTGTGTGTGTGTCATAGACTGTATATATTCTGTGTGTGTGTCATAGACTGTATATATTCTGTGTGTGTGTGTGTGTCATAGACTGTATATATTCTGTGTGTGTGTGTGTGTCATAGACTGTATATATTCTCTGTGTGTGTGTGTGTGTGTGTGTTTGTGTGTTTATGGGGTGTAACGACAAATAGTAATTGTAAAGACAACTATAGGCCCATAGCTCTGGCCATCATCTTATCTAAGGTACTGGAGCGGGCTATTCTGAACAAGATGGAGGAGTTCCTACTTACGTCTGATAATCAGTTTGGTTTCAAACCTTAAAATGGAACAGACATGTGTATTTTTGCTCTGAAAGAAATTTGTGATCTTTACTATAGACACGAAACCACAATATTTATGTGCTTATTGATGTTAGGTGTTCCAAAATGCCTAGTAAGAAATGTGGCTTTCTGGTACACCCAACAGTCAATGTTTGTAAAATGGGGAAATTGTTTATCTGCACCTTTCTGTGTGTCTAAAGCCTAGCGTACATCGGACTGGCAACTGATTATATCCGTCGCCTCTGAGTTGCTGCCCCGCACACATCGACAATCTGGCGAAAACGGGCAACTCTGAGTCGCAGGCCAGTCTCTTGAATAACAGCGCGTACATCGACAGCAACTGGCCTCAACTACAGTGTGTTTTCTGACATAAACTGTTGCGGGCTCGCAATACACGCAATACACACACGTTGTCGGAGCGGCGCATGGAGCGCGCACATCGGAGCAACTGAGGACAACTAGTTGCCGAAAAGTAGAACACGGGCAACTGACTGGAACTGGAGACCGACTGATCATCTCCAGTTGTAAGAGCGCGCACATCGACCGATTTCGGCAACTGATCATCTCCCATCATCTCCTCTCAGTTGCCAAAAGCCGCCTTGCAACTAGTTGTCCCCAGTTTCTCTGTCGATGTACGCTAGGCTTAAAGGAGTAAGACAGGGCAGCATTTTGTCTCCCTTTTTATTCAACTTGTACATGCATGACCTGTCAAGGCTTTTAAATGACTGTGGGACTGGCTGTCGTGTCGGCAACAGTCTGATTAACCACATAATGTTTGCTGACAACCTTGCAATTTTTAGTCCGTATAGTGCTGGGCTACAAGAGCTGCTGCAGGTGTGCTCCCAGTATGGAACAGACTTTGACATCAAGTACAACGAAAGAAAAGCACCGTCATCATGATAGTACGGAGCAGGGGGGACTGTCGGGCAACAGAATGAGTGTATCAGATGTAAATACCTGGGACATTACAGGTCTGCACTGGTCTCTCCCATGGATCTATACAGGTCCGCACTGGTCTGACGACAGGGACATCTACAGACAATGGGTCTCATTCACGAACCGTACTTAAGAACAAATTTGTGCGTAAATCCTACTTACGAAGATTTTACAGAGATTGTGGCATTCATGACATTTTCTCGTAACCAGAATTTCTCTTGGGTAAGTACAAATCCTACGAATGCTCAGGAGCACTCGTACGCACATTCAGTGTCAACACGTTCGCACGCTGGTGTCATGAAGTTCAATAAAACACAACATTACAGTGATATATCCGTCATATTGATGTATGTATTTATTTATTTCATTGTTAATGGTAATTTAGCCTATTTTTTTATTCATTTTGAAATGAAATGTTCCAACGCTTTAACAAATACATTGAAAATCTTGCCGTGTATTAGTGACCCCATCCTATTTATAGGGGGCATTTCTTTATCCACACGCCACAGAACAATGGCATATATACTGCTGCTGCAGGAGGCTGCGCGGTCTCTCCCATGGATCTATGCGGGTCTGCACTGGTCTCTCCCATGGATCTATACAGGTCTGCACTGGTCTCTCCCATGGATCTATACGGGTCTGCACTGGTCTCTCCCATGGATCTATACGGGTCTGCACTGGTCTCTCCCATGGATCTATGCAGGTCTGCACTGGTCTCTCCCATGGATCTATACAAGTCTGCACTGGTCTCTCCCATGGATCTATACAGGTCTGCACTGGTCTCTCCCATGGATCTATACGGGTCTGCGCTGGTCTCTCCCATGGATCTATACGGGTCTGCACTGGTCTCTCCCATGGATCTATACAGGTCTGCGCTGGTCTCTCCCATGGATCTATACGGGTCTGCACTGGTCTCTCCATACGGGTCCGTGCTGTACGCTCCTGGATCCATACGGGTCCGCGCTGGTCCCTCCAGTCAGGTCTCTCCAGTCTATGCGGTCTCTCCTGTCCGCGCTGGTTTCTGTGTGCTGGTCACTCCAGTCTCTCCTCGGGTCTGCATTGGTCTCAGGTCTCAAAACATTTTGAGATTCATTTTTAAATTAATACATAATATATTATTAAATTAAGCTCATAACATTTTGAGATTCATCATCATATTTTTAGATTAATCTAATAATTTTGCTAGTTCGACTTTATTCTCATAATATTTCGACTTTAAAAACAAAATTTTATAACTTTATTCTCAGTCTGGCAAAAGAAGAAATAAGGCTGACTCTTTTGCTCCGTGTAACTCTTTGCTTTAGGCCTGTTGCTGTTTCCTCTGGCGTCTGCACACGACCCTGCAGTCCCTTATATGGGCATTAGTGGGCGGTTACCTATGCTAAGTACCTATGCTAATGAAGCACCGGGCATGCGCGCTCTACTTACAAGGAAATAACATTCATCAATCTAAGAGAACAGCTGCGAACAATTCAGCTTTGATGAATCCCACGTAGGGTCTTCTTAGAAATCTACTTAAGAACGACTTGAGAAGAAATTTGAGAAGTTTCTTACGAAGTTATTTGTGAATGAGGCCTAATGTCGCCTGCTCTACGGCCAGGCCAACATGCTGATCCGCAGGTTTGGTATGTGCTCACTACCTGTCAAGATAAGACTCTTTAAGGCCTATTGCACTCCCATGTACACGGCCACCTGTGGAGGGGCTATAAAAAGAGCAGTTTGCAAAAATTTACTGTGGCATACAATGATGCCATGCGGATGCTGCTGAGAGTCCCATGGAGCAGTGCCAGTGTCATGTTTGTAAATGCACGTGTGCCCACTTGTCCTGCTGTACTGTGTAATCTCATGTGCAGGTGCATGTGCATGTGCAGGTGCATGTGCAGGTGCATGTGCATGTGCATGTGCAGGTGCATGTGCATGTGCAGGTGCAGGTGCAGGTGCATGTGGAGGTGCAGGTGCATGTGCAGGTGCATGTGAAGGTGCAGGTGCATGTGCATGTGCATGTGCAGGTGCATGAGCAGGTGCATGTGGAGGTGCAGGTGCATGTGCAGGTGCATGTGAAGGTGCAGGTGCATGTGCAAGTGCAGGTGAAGGTGCAGGTGCATGTGCAGGTGCATGTGCAGGTGCATGTGAAGACTGTCCCACTCTGTCAACAGCATCATTGCTGCATTGACCAACCCAGGTCTGAGCTCAGTGTGTTAGTTCTCCAGTTTATGGACTCACTGGCTTCAGAGCCTATACAGGAAATGACTTATCTTTTAACTTTTTACATGTTTTTATGTGTTTTTGTATGTCTTGTAGTATGGACCTTTTATTCTTGTGTCCGAAATAAATTATTGAATTGAAATTGAATTGAAAGCGTAGTTCATCCTGTTCAATACAAAGTGTGTGTACGGTAATATAAAGTCCTCTGTTGTGTTTCAGGCAGAGACGGAGGTGTTCGAGATCACAGACTTCACCACAGCCTCCGAATGGGAACGGTCAGTCCAGAGTCATTCCAGAGTCATTCCAGAGTCATTCCAGAGTCATTCCAGAGTCATTCCAGAGTCATTCCAGAGTCATTCCAGAGTCACTCCTGAGTCATTCCTGGTTCCGTCTAGTTTCTCTCAGTGTCTTCTCTCAGTGTCTTCTTTCTCAGTGTCTTCTCTCTCAGTGACCTCTCTCTGTGTCCTCTCTCAGTGTCCTCTCTCTCAGTGTCCTCTCTCTGTGTCTTCTCTCAGTGTCCTCACTCAGTGTCCTCTCTCTCAGTGTCCTCTCTCTCAGTGTCTTCTCTCTCAGTGTCCTCTCTCTGTGTCTTCTCTCAGTGTCCTCACTCAGTGTCCTCTCTCTCAGTGTCCTCTCTCTCAGTGTCTTCTCTCAGTGTCCTCTCTCTGTGTCTTCTCTCAGTGTCCTCTCTCTGTGTCTTCTCTCAGTGTCTTCTCTCTCAGTGTCTTCTCTCTCAGTGTCTTCTCTCTCAGTGTCTTCTCTCTCAGTGTGTTCTCTCTCAGTGTCTTCTCTCTCAATGTCCTCTCTCTCAGTGTCTTCTCTCTCAGTGTCCTCTCTCTCAGTGTCCTCTCTCTGTGTCTTCTCTCCTGTTTTCTTCAGGTTTGTGTCCAAACTGGAGGAGGTTCTGAATGACTGGAAACTCATCGGGAATTCGTCTCGAAAACCTGCTCCCACCAAGGTGACGGATACACACACACACACACACGCACACACACATATACGTTTTTGTTACCTGGTGGGTCCCTTTGACAGGGCCGTTCAGAATGGGACCCATAGACATAATCTTTTTTTACTGGGACTACTTTAAGTAATACAAAACAGTCAATAGAAAACAAACAACTCTTTTAAAGGAATTTTATTTTAGATTTTTTTTCGAATTGCAGTGATTCTATTTTTGACATAGAATTTAATGCCACTCCATGTCCGATGTCTAAGGTCATCTGGTGAGGCATTAATGCAGGCCAGGCAGTGAGACTTCCCAGGGACTTTTCCAGTCTGTATGAAAGGTGTCATGGTCTTCTCCACAGCCTTCACCTCAAATGCAGACCATGGCTTTCTCTAACGTTCTAGGGAGAGAAATAAAAATATGTTAGCAATATACACTCCCAGGGTTAGGACCAAGCAGCCTGGCTGTAATCCCCCACCTGGTACACTTACCAGAAGGGGCACTGCCACTACCATGGGGTGCATCTGGATGAATGGTTGAAGGTTCTCCGCTTGAAGTTTCTTTTAGCCCGTCCGTTTGTTAGAGGATCTCTACTGCTCTCCCTGTCGCACAGAAAATAAAAATACAAGTGGCCTTTAGGGGAAAAAAATTATACATATTTTAATAATATCAATAATTACCTTCAGGCTCAATTTGTATCTGGTCGAGGCTCTTTCCTTTGAATTCCGTCACTCTTCCCTGCTCCATGGCCATTAACACTTTGCTGATTTTGGCCAGCTCCAGTGTCCCCTCTGGTAGTCTGTAATATTGTCTGTGGATGTGAATGTCATGGCCGAGGAAGTTGGCTAGTATGTCCATTTCATTCTCTTTCATATTGAGAACTGTAGACATAGTAGCTATGTGCTTTCTAAGTTTGGTTGAGGATAGCATCTCTGGATGCACCGCACCACATTCTTTGGCGTCCTGCCGTAGGGAGTCTGATCCCCTGATGTGGGTGTCTGCGCCCGGGCGGGAGAAGAAGTATGGGTTATGGTCAGAGATGGAACAGGCCCTTCTGTTCTCCACCAGCACCTCCATCCAAGCAATCATTTCAGGAGTCAAAAGAACCGGCACTTTCCGACTTCTTTTCCCTTTAATTTCAATGCGTTGAAAATGCTGACACAGCTTTTTCTCAAGTTCGGACAGTCCCAGAGCAATGTCAGAATGGATCCCAGTCTTACTTCTTAAGGTAAACGCTGTCAGTGGCATCTTTGAAACCTCACCTTCCCTTCTTCGATTGAAAATAATGACCTCACAAAGAGTAAAAACTGCCAGTTTAGACCAATGCTTAGACGTTGGCTCACTTATTAGGATTTGCACATATTCAGGTCGACATACCTCAATATGTGCATGCATGGCTCTAACGTCCTCAGTCAGAGGGAGCAGGTCCGGAGTGTTCCACTTGGCTTGCCGGAGGGTCTGTAGGGCAGCAGAAGAAACACAGACGTCCCACCTCTTCTCAAAAAGCAGCCGGCTTCGTTGGAGGTTTTTAATAAATAGTTCATCAACACAATGCTCCATTTTTGAGTCACATTCAAGAATATCTGCTTTCTGAGGCTATGGCCGAGTTTGAGGGCCAAGGATGGAGTCTTGTATTGATTTTTTTCCTCATCATATCCAGCCACAGACCTGACTGCATCAATCACATGGTTAAAGTTGGAAGGAATAAAGAAATCCTTCATTGTTTTCATTTTCCCTGCGGTTTTTGCTTTGTTAATTAACCTACCGACTTCTCTCATTTTCTGCCTAATGTAATCATGCTTAGTCTTATCATGCCCGTGTTTTAAGTACAGGTGCTCTCAGAGTCTCAGAATCCCCTTTTCTGCTTTGACAACACCCGTGACCTCATCCTGATGCATTGCCCAAATTAAAGACCACAGCTTTTTGCTGATGCCCTCCGGTACAGGCTGGGCTAGGGAGCAGAGGGACTGGACCCTACTTCTACCTGGTTTAGCCTGGGCATCTTTCTGTGAAAGCCGGCACCTGGCCACATGCCTCCACAGCCACTTTCGCTTAAGCAATGCCCCACAGTCTATACAGTGCAAAAACTCACTGGATTTAACTGGGCAATTTGGCTGTTTAGCTGGGACTAAAGTTCCAATGCCGGCCTTTAAAACCTCAAAATTGTGCTCACGGTTTCCACTATTCCTGATCAAATCAAACTGAAGTTTACATGCTTTAGATTTCACAGGTAGAGCCAATGCTCTGGCTACGTCACTTTCATTTCCATGTTTTCTAGTCAAATGACGGGACATTTTGTGGCAGGACATTGAACAGTAGAGGCAGAAGTGTCTCTTGCTGTATACTCGCCCCCCATTTTTCTTCTTTTGCAGCTGCATGATAACAATCTTATTTGCCTTTGGTTCGTCACTTTCCGAGTCTTGAAGAAAAGTATTTTTGATTTTTCTTTTCCATACTTTTTTACAGGTTTCTTCTTGACAGTTAAATCGTCAGAATCTGAGTCGACTTCATCAATTAGGGACTCTTGACTAAGCTGCACAAACAACAAATAATTTTTAATAATTCTATATAACAATTTGAAGTCATGACTTGTAGTCAGCACTTACCAGTGGTTTGTAAGCGTGCGCTTCAGTGTGCTGCTCTGTGATTGGCTGCAGCCTAATGAACCACACACTTGCACCTTTTCTAGCCTGACACCTGACTTCCTCTGTTGTGCTGCTCCATTATTGGCTCCAGCCTGCTGGACTGAAATTGCCCCAGTGTGCCCCTCCTTGATATCCCGCAACCCACCACCAGGGTTCCGACACATAACACACTTTTTTCAGGAAAGTAAACCTCAAGGGGTCCTTTCCATATTTTTACAGAGACTGCATAAGGACCGTTAGAAAAGCATTACCCATTGATTATTAAGCTTGGACCAGTGGGGTCCGGTGTTCGGGCCCCACCACGTAAAACCAGTCCCCATGACGTGAGTGGAATCTCATCTCAGGTTATGGAACCCACAAGGAGTTGAAAACAAGTGCACAGACACACACACACACACATACACAAATATACACACACACACACACACTTCCTGGTTAAACACAGAGGCCTCTGTTCCACAGATCTGCTCTGGAGCAGAAGGAGGAGCAGTTCAGGTCCTTCAAAGACCGGTGAGTCCAAGCACCTGGTGAGGCGTTCATGGTTCTCTTTGCAGATGTTGATGGTTCTTGTTGTAGATGTTGATGGTTCTCTTTGCAGATGTTGATGGTTCTTGTTGCAGATGTTGATGGTTCTTGTTGCAGATGTTGATGGTTCTTGTTGCAGATGTTGATGGTTCTTGTTGCAGAGGTTGATGGTTCTCTTTGCAGATGTTGATGGTTCTCTTTGCAGATGTTAATGGTTCTCTTTGCAGATGTTGATGGTTCTCTTTGCAGATGTTGATGGTTCTCTTTGCAGATGTTGATGGTTCTCTTTGCAGATGTTGATGGTTCTTGTTGCAGATGTTGATGGTTCTCTTTGCAGATGTTGATGGTTCTCTTTGCAGATGTTAATGGTTCTCTTTGCAGATGTTGATGGTTCTCTTTGCAGATGTTGATCAGAATCAGAATCATTCATGGCCATGTGAGTAACAGGAAGTCAGAGACTAGGAAATTGCTGTGGCTCTCGGTGCATCAGTCAGAAAAGAGGTAAAGAACATTATAAAAATCAGCATCACTTCTAAGAGAGTGCACATGGTGCACACATGGTGCAGTGGCTGGAGGTCCAGTGGGAGGAGGTGCAGTGGTTGGAGGTGCAGTGAGAGTAAGTAAGTAAGCTTTATTTATATACCGCCCTTCACAGACCAGAGTCACAAAGCGGTTTACAATTGTTATTTTTGGGCACTTGTCTCTCACTCCACACAGAGATGGGAGCGGGGCCAGTACAGGAGGCGCATGCCAATCCTATTGTACATATTTTTAGTGGTAGGGGAAACCGGAGTACCCGGAGGAAACCTACGCGGACACGGGTAGAACATGCAAACTCCACTCAGAAAGGCCCTGGTCCGGCCGGGATTCGAACCCAGGACCTTCTTGCTGAGAGGCGAGAGTGCTATCCACTCAGCCACCGTGCCGAGAGGAGGTGCAGTGGCTGGAGGTGCAGTGGTTGGAGGTGCAGTGGGAGGAGTAAGTAAGTAAGCTTTACCGCCTTTCACAGACCAGAGTCACAAAGCGGTTTACAATTGTTATTTTTTTTTTTTTGGGCACTTGTCCTCTCACTCCACACAGAGATGGGACCGGGGTCGCCGAACAGGAGGCGCATGCCAGACCTATTGTACATATTTTTAGTGGTAGGGGAAACCGGAGTACCCGGAGGAAACCTACGCAGACACAGGGAGAACATGCAAACTCCACTCAGAAAGGCCCTGGTCCGGCCGGGATTCGAACCCAGGACCTTCTCGCTGAGAGGCGAGAGTGCTATCCACTCAGCCACCGTGCCGCCAGAGGAGGTGCAGTAGTTGGTGCACAGGGAGAAGACCAGGGGTGAAAGAACACAGCTCTGTGTTTAATCCTAGAGTCTGAGACATTCTTCCCCAGACGCACTCGCTGCTTCCTGTCCAGGTGGACAGATGTTGATGGTTCTCTTGGTTGCAGATGTTAGATACTTTATGTAGTAGGAGTTCTAGGAGTTCAGGAGACTAATCCAGGTTTGTTGTACAGTCTGACAGCCTTAACAAAGGATCTCTTGAAACGTGCCGTTCGGCAGCGTAGTGATAGGAGCCTGTTGCTACGGTTACTCCTCTGAGCGGTCATAGTGTCATGCAGAGGGTGTCTGGAGTTACCCAGGATGCACTACAGTAGAGCCCTCATCCTTCTCTCCAGCACAGACTGGTAACAGATGTGCCACATCTGACTGCTCACATCAAAGGACCTCAGTCTACTCAGAAAGAAAAGTCTGCTCTGACCTTTCTTATAGATGGCATTGGCCTGAGCTGACCAGTCTAGTCTGTGGACCAGGTGGACTCCCAGTCCAGTCTGTGGACCAGATGGACTCCCAGTTCTCTTTGCAGATGTTGATGGTTCTTGTTGCAGATGTTAATGGTTCTCTTTGCAGATGTTGAGGGTTCTTGTTGCAGGTGTTGATGGTTCTTGTTGCAGATGTTGATGGTTCTCTTTGCAGATGTTGATGGTTCTTGTTGCAGATGTTGATGGTTCTCTTGCAGATGTTGATGGTTCTTGTTGCAGATGTTGATGGTTCTCTTTGCAGATGTTGATGGTTCTTGTTGCAGATGTTGATGGTTCTTGTTGCAGATGTTGATGGTTCTTGTTGCAGATGTTGATGGTTCTTGTTGCAGATGTTGATGGTTCTCTTTGCAGATGTTGATGGTTCTCTTTGCAGAGTGGCAGAGAATGTTCTTCTCTCGTCAACAACAGAAAACACTGAGAACATGAACAGTCCAGTGAACCGGAGCCGCCTCACAGAGATGTACCAGCAGCTGAGAGTGTGTGTGTGGCCTCACATCAACTGGACACAGCCCGAGCACCGGGCCAGGTACCTGGTCCAGGTAACTGTGAGGACCCTGTGACTGTGAGGACCCTGTGACTGTGGGGACCCTGTGACTGTGGGGACCCTGTGACTGTGATGGTGACTGTGAGGACCCTGTAACTGTGAGGACCCTGTGACTGTGAGGGTGACTGTGAGGGCCCTGTGACTGTGAGGGTGACTGTGAGGACCCTGTGACTGTGAGGGTGACTGTGAGGGTGACTGTGAGGACCCTGTGACTGTGAGGACCTTGTGACTGTGAGGGCCCTGTGACTGTGAGGGCCCTGTGACTGTGAGGGCCCTGTGACTGTGAGGACCCTGTAACTGTGAGGACCCTGTGACTGTGAGGACCCTGTGACTGAGGGTGACTATGAGGACCCTGTGACTGTGAGGACCTGTGACTGTAAAGACCTGTGACTGTGAGGATCCAGTGATTGTGAGGACCCTATTTGTACAAGTCACAGGCCTGTCACTGTGAGGGCCTGTGACTGTGAGGGTGACTGTGAGGGTGACTGTGAGGACCCTGTGACTGTGAGGACCCTGTGTGAGTGTTATATTGTCGTGTTGTTCTTACAGGAGGTGTTCTCTAGAGCCCATGAGAACATGACCAAATCCTTGAGCACAGTGTGTGCAGGAAGCACCTCCTCACCACAGGTACTGATGAAGAGGAGGATGATGATGATGAGGATGATGATGATGATGATGATGAGGCTGCTGTGTTTCAGGTGGACACATTCAGGCGCAGGGCTCTGGAGAACCTGCAGATGGTGCTGCTGCACAGCAGTAAACAGCAGGTGTGTGTGAAGGCCTTCCCCTCTCTCTCTGGACCAGAACTGGACTTGGCCTCAGAGTGTTACTGGTTGGGTTGTCTGATGGCTCTGCACTCTCCTCCTCTGCATCCAGACTGGGACAGAGGGTCTGGACTGGTCTTCCCACGGGACATCAGGGAAATCAGGACTAAACGATGACGTGCTGCTCCCACAGTCACTCACCTTTGAGCCCGACCAGAAACAGCAGAATATTGACACAGAACAATATAGAGGTGTTTTTCTGGACCAGTCTAGTTTAGTCGCTGTGGGATCTTGAATACAATACAATACACAATACAATTTATTCTTGTATAGCCCTAGGTCACAACAGAAGTCATCTCAGAGGACTTAACAAAACCATTGAAATCACCAACACAGGTCAGAGAATCAACAGTTAAAACACATGAAGAATATAAAGCACACACAGAAGAAAATGTCCATACATGTTGTAGAATGCTAAAGTGTCCTGATCATCACCAATCCTTTCTGTTGGACACTAACTGTCCAACAAGACCCTCCTGCATCGACAAGGAACAACTCTTAAAAAACCCAGTGGGAAAACGTGAGAAACCTTGGGGAGCACTAGGGAAACCCACAGGGAGGGAGACCCATATGAGAAAGGGATCCGCTCCTCCGGACGGACAGGCTAATGATCTAGGACCTAAGCTAGCTACAGAACGTGGACCAGTGGCCGCTGAACGTGGACAGGTCCGGTGCAGGACCGAAGCACTCCCAGGCGGGTCGGGCGGGGCAGTCCGCAGGTGTAGATGGAAGAGGCCAGGCTCAGAGATCCCGTCATCGTACCATGAAACAGACAATGGGACAACGGGTGAATAGCAATGAACAAACTACAGTCAGAATCCTAAAAGTGCTAAACAGATAAAGTAGGAAGGAGGAGAGGATAGTGCTCAAGTTACCATACTTCTCCCAGCAAACTGACTCCCTATGCAGCTTGACTGACACTCTGAGGGGTTTAACCTTCTCAGAGTCTTACCTTCCTAACCATATGCTAAACTAAAGAGGACTGTTTTAAACCTAGCCTTGAATAAAGAATAACATACAGCATAATATATAACATAATATACAACATAACACAATACATTATTGAATAATATATAACATAATATATAACATAATACAGCATATATATATAATATATACACTACATATTATATATTACCTAGTTATATGCTAAATTAAAGTAAAGTGCTTTAAGCCTGGCCTTGAATGTGGAGACCGTATCTGCTTCCTTAACATAAATGAAGCTGATTCCACAGTAAAGGAGCTTGGTAGCTAAATGCTCTGCCACCAACAGTGACCTTTGAGACCTTAGGGACCACCAGACGTCTGGCGTTTTGTGAGCGCAACGCTCGACTTGGTTGATACGACACTAACGTGTCTTGGAGATAAGAAGGAGCCAAGCCATTTATGGCTTTGTATGTTAAGAGTAGAATTTTAAACTTTATTCTGTACTCCACAGGGAGCCAGTGGCGTGATTTTAACACCGGAGTTATGTGCTCCCTCCTTTTGGTACCTGTTAAGATCCTAGCTGCTGTATTCTGAACGAGCTGGAAGCTCTTCAAAGAGGCTTTAGGGCACGCTGCCAATAAAGCGTTACAGTAGTCGAGCCTTGAGGTGACAAACGCGTGAATGAGTTTTTCCGCGTCACTTTTAGGAAGGAAATTCCTAATTTTAGCGATGTTCCGTAAGTGGAAGTACGCCGTTTTAGTTGCTTGGCTTATATAAGCCTTGAAGGAGAGTTCTTGGTCAAAAATGACTCCAAGATTCCTCACAGTGTTACTGGGTATTATACTGACATTATCGAGAGTAACCATCTGGTTAGTGAGGGAGTCACGCAGGCGCTTCGGACCGAGTAGGATCACTTCTGTCTTCTCCGGGTTGAGAAGTAGGAAGTTAAGAGTCATCCACATTTTAAGGTCCTTTATGCAGGCACTGAGCTTTTCTAGCTGATCTGTCTGATTAGGCTTCATCGACAGATAAAGCTGTGTGTCATCTGCAGCAGTGGAAATTAATTCCATGCTTTTTAATAATGTTTCCCAATGGCAGCATGTAGAGAGTAAAAAGAATCGGTCCGAGTACCGAACCCTGCGGCACACCGAATTCTACTCCAGAATAAGGCGACGAGTCCTGATTCACATTGACGAAGTGATACCGATCTGATAAATAGGATTTAAACCAGCCAAGGGCTGTTCCTCTAAGTCCTATATCACATTCTAGCCTCTGCAGTAGAATGCTGTGGTCTATTGTGTCAAATGCAGCACTAAGGTCCAGTAGGACCAGCACTGACACTTGTCCATTATCGGCAGCTAGTAGTAAGTCATTTGTGACTTTGACTAGTGCCGTTTCAGTGCTATGATGAGGTCTGAATCCTGATTGAAAGACTTCAAACATATTGTTTTCCTGCAGGTGGCAGCGGAGCTGCTCAGCTATAAGTTTTTCCAGGATTTTAGATATGAAAGTGAGGTTTGAGATCGGTCTGTAGTTTGTAAGTATTTCTGGGTCCAGGTTTGTTTTCTTCAGAAGGGGTTTGATTACCGCGGTTTTAAAAGCTTGTGGGACATAGCCACATTGTATGGATGCGTTTATTATATTTACGATAGGCTCAATTATCAAAGGAAGTATGTCTTTGAAGAGCCATGTCGGGACTGCGTCTAACATGCAAGTTGAGGCTTTTGAGGATGTGACCACAGAGATCACCTCTGCTTGGCTCACAGCCATGAATTTATCAAGGCCCACTGAAGAGTCTAAGTGGGAAGTCACGTATGCCGCTTCAGCCTGTCCACTACCAACAGCAGGAGTAACCTCCTCCAGTTTGTCACGGGTGGATGTAATTTTATTATTAAAGAAGTGGAGAAAGTCGACACTGCTCAGTGAGCTTGGAATTTTAGGCTCGATTGCGCTATGGCAGTTTGTGAGTTTAGCGACGGTGCTAAACAAAAATCTACTGTTATTTTTATTGGCTTCTATTAAAGTTGAATAGTATTGAGTTCGAGCCCTGCGAAGGGCATTCTTGTAGTTTCGGAGACCTGCTTTCCACTCCCTGTGGACAGGCTCCGAGTGGGAGTGGCGATATAGCCTCTCCAATTTTCTGACGTCCTGTTTTAAAGTGTGGAGTTGAACACTGTACCAGGGCGACGATGATCTAATCCTAATAGTTTTCTGTTTTAAAGGAGCTGCTGCATTTAATGCAGATTTTAAAGACTCCATAGTGTTGCCCACCGTTTGGTCAATGACTGAGGGACTGCAGCTGCTGTGAACAGGTTCACCTGCAGCAGTATTCAACATTGGCTGTATTAGTTCTTTGAACCTTGTGATAGATTTATCATTTAAGGTTCTTTTCATTATGGTTTTATCTTGCGGAACAGGAAAGTCCTCCAAATCGAGATCAAACGTGATCAAGAAATGGTCAGACAGCAACGAGCTTTGACGCTGGATGTCAACATTGGAGACATCACAGCCGTAGGTCAGGACAAGGTCCAAGGTGTGGTTATGAATGTGAGTAGGTTCCTCGACATTCTGAGTAAAACCAACACATCTAGAATTCACCATCAGAGAATTCTTTTAGGAACTCGCTGTAAGGACCAGGAGGTCGGTATAAAACTATAAATAGCACCGCTTTTTGTTTTCTCCACCCAGGACAGGTGATTGAAAGTGTTAAGTTTTCAAACGAGTGAAAAGCGTTGTTGGTTTTGGGACTAAGAAGTAAGTTGGTGTGTGATATAATCGCAACGCCACCGCCGCGACCTGTAGCTCTGGCTTTCTGGTAGTTAACATGCGTCGGAGGAGTGCACTCATTCAATCTAACGTAGTCGTCTTGTTGGAGCCAAGTCTCCGAGAGCGCAAACAAATCCAAGCCCTTGTCTATAATAAGTTCGTTTATGAGAAGCGATTTAGACGAGATTGATCTGACGTTCATTAAACCACATTTAACAACCCTACTGTTAGAACTATTTCTGTCTGTCTGAACTTTTATTAAGTTACTGTGTCTGACACCTAGGTCAGATTTCCTCGCATATAGTGCTTTAGACTTCAAGCGGGGAACACACACAGTTTCAATCTGACTAGCTTCTGAGGCTAGTAACTGAGCACACACAGGCACACACACACATGCACACACAGTTTCAATCTGACTAGCTTCTGAGGCTAGTAACTGAACAGATGGGGGCTCAGAGGTTGTGGCAGAGCAGCTTTGCACCCGGGCCTCAGTTCTGCATCGTCATTTGAGCCGAGCAGAACAGTTTAGAGCCAGGGCCAAATTCTTAGCCAAAAGGGATGTACCCGCCAACGTTGGGTGGATATCATCCGAGCGGATGAGACCGGGCTTTCCCCAAAAGGCACTCCAATTGTCAACATGAACAACACCACTTGGAGGGCACCAGCCAGACAGCCAGCGGTTGAAAGCCGAGTGTCTGCTGAATGCTTCTGCACTGCTAGTGCTAGGTAGGGGCCCAGAGAAGATGACAGTGTCGGCCATTGTGCTAGCCAGTTTGCACACCGCGGCGACTTGCAGCTTCAACACCTCGGACTGTTTCCGCCGAACGTCATTACCACCCGCGTGAATAACAATTCGACGGAAACGCTGCTTGTGGGTCATCATGAGCCTCAGATTCCCTTCAATATCACCAAGCCTGGCCCCAGGGAAGCACCGAACAGTGGCTCCTGGGATCTTAACACCTCTAACAATAGAGGAGCCAATTACCAGCGCATCAGCGACCCCATCGGCTCTCTCAGCAGCTCTCTCAGCGGCTCTCTCAGCAGCTCTCTCAGCGGCTCTCTCAGCGGCTCTCTCAGTGGGGCCTTCTTCCCCGCCCGGCCGCGCGGGGGCGCAGCCGGACAGAGCGTCCCAGCGATTGTAAATGCTAACAGGAGGAGGCCCAATGGGGAAACTACCAACAACACGTCGCCCTTTCCGAACAGTCACAAAGCCATCACTATCCTGGTCTTGTCCCAGCTGCGGAGGACGGGCTGGGAGGCTAGGCTCGCTAGTTCTCCTCTGCCTTTCCCTAAAGCTGCGCTCCGCTGTCCCTGAGGATACGGCCTGGCTGTAGCTAATGCTAGCGCTAGCTCGAGACTCCAGTGCTCGGAGACGCAGCTCTAACTCACTGACCCTGGATTCCAGAGCTACGACTACACTACAC